ATTGCAATGCTTTAGGGACAGCCAGCAGCGTCAGCGATGTGTTTAAAGGCTTCTCGGGGAGATGGAAGCTCAATTAACAAATTCTTCAAGACGCCCTGACGGAAGGATCCTCCCTGAGGCGAAAAACACCCCGCGTGTTGTGGATCTGCTCCGCCGGGCGGGGAAGGCGAGTTTCAGCACTGCGGCAGAGTGGACAGCTCCCGCAGGACTTCCGCCCTGCTTGCTCTCCCGCCCACAAGGCAGCCAGGGAAGGGATCTAAGCCCAGCAACAAGGCGAGGCCAAGGAAGACAGGCTTGAAAGGTTTCTCAGGCATTGACCAGCCCTGTTGCTTAGATCCCCGAGATTTCATTCCCCAGCACGAGACACCTCCCAATCCCTGGTAGTTATTTTTAACCATGATCACAGAGAACTCAAATGTCTTTCGCATTTCTCCGAGAAGACTCCAATTTTCTATTTCCCCAACTGCTCTTCTTCCCCCTCCTCCTCCTTCTTTCACTTCTTCCTCTCCTTCTCTTCATTCTCTTCCTCCTCCTCCTCCTCCTCTCCCTTCTTCTACTACTAGTAAAGGTATAGGTTTCCCCTCGACATTAAGTCTAGTCGTGTCCGACTCTGGGTGGTGGTGCTCACCTCCATTTCTAAGCCAAAGAGCCGGCGTTGTCCGTAGACACCTCCTAGGTCATGTGGTCAGCAAGAGCAGTACCAGTGACAAATCAAAACCTACAACTTTTACTTCTTCCTCTCCTTCTCTTCATTCTCCTTCTCCTCTTCCTCCTCCGCCTCCTCCTCCTCTCCCTTCTTCTTTTCCTACTAGTAAAGGTAAAGGTTTCCTCTCCACATTAAGTCTAATCGTGTCCGACTCTGGGTGGTGGTGCTCACCTCCATTTCTAAGCCGAAGAGCCGGCACTGTCCGTAGACACCTCCTAGGTCATGTGGCCGGCATGTTTTAATGTTGAGATAAATGATTTTAATGATTTTAGTGATTTTAATGTTTATGTATGTCTATTTATGTCCTGGCATTGAATGTTTGCTGTTTCTATATTGTACTCTGCCCTGAGTCCCTTTTGGGGTGAGAAGGGTGGAATATAAATGCTTTAAATAAATAAATAAATAAATAAATAAATAAATAAATAAATAAAACCTTCCTGCCAGAGCAGTACCTATTGATAGAATCATAGAATCATAGAGTTGGAAGAGACCTCATGGGCCATCCAGTCCAACCCCCTGCCAAGAAGCTCACATTTGCATGTTTTCAAACTGCTTGTTTGGCAGAAGCTGGGGCTAACAGCGGGAGCTCACCCAGATTCGAACTGCCAACCTTTCGGTCAGCAAGTTCAACAGCTCAGCAGTTCTACTGCTACTGTATATTTACTTATAACCCTCTTACAAGAAGAGTGTTATAAGTAAATATACAGTAGCAGTAGAACTGTCTTACAACACTAAAGAACAGTACCAGTTACAAATCAAAACCTACAACATGTAAACATTTTTTGTTCACATCAGGAGCAACTTGAGAAACTGCAAGTCTCTTCTGGTGTGAGAGAATTGGCCACCTGCAAAGACGTTGCCCAGGGGATGCCCGGATGTTTTGATGTTTTATCATCCTTCTGGGAAGCTTCTCTCATATCCCCGCATGAGGAGCTGGAGCTGATAGAGGGAGCTCATCTGCACTCTCCTCAGATTTGAACCTGTGACCTGTCGGTCTTCAGTCCTACCGGCACAAGGGTTTAACCCACTGCGCCACTGGGGGCTCCATGTAAACATTGAAATAGCATTAATCATAGAATTGTTAAAACAAATGATTAAAATTACCTAACACTATTAAAAATAATAATACAAACACTACACAGTACTTCCTGTCTTGCTCTAAAAGACTTTCTTCTTCATCTGCACCATGATGCTCCTCTCTAGCAGCCCTTCACTCTTCACTGGAACTGCGCCCTAAGATTTCTTTCTGGAGCACCAGCCTCTTCCCAGTCTCTGTTGACCACAGTCATGGAGGTCCCACATCTTATCTACTCCTTGCCACTGTTTGGAGAAGAGAAGACTCCAAAGCCCTTTCCTTCCAACACTCCTTGACTCCTCTGACATATGGTACCTTCTCTGACTCAAAGCCTACCAAACTGCACCTCTAGCTCCAAGGAATCACTCTATTGAAAGACAGGGTGTCTCAAAATGACAGGCTCTGTGTCAATACAAATCAATAGATACATATCAAATGGAGAAATACATATCTAAGTTTCAAATGGTAAGGCTTTCATTAACGTGCAGTGTGTGGTGGCCAGAGATATGGTAATTTCAAATTGGGCTGCACCATCTCCTGAGGGTCTATCCTTGGCATTTGCAAACTTTAGCCCTCCAGGTGTTTTGGATTCAACACCCACAATTCCTAACAGGCTGTTAGAAATTGTGGGTGTTGAAGTCCAAAACACCTGGAGGGCTGAGGTTTGCCGATGCCTGTTCCACCTACTGCACCCTAAACTCCAGACTCTTCCTAGTTTCTGGTGGGTTACTTTGGATCATCGTCAGTGAGAGCCCCAAAGTCATATGCATCTTTTCGCTCCTTTGCAGAGAAGACCTCTTTCCTCCTTTTCATCCCTTTTCCCTGACTCCTGTCATTTATTTGGTGCTTGATCACCCCATCTTGGCTCTTCATGGAAACACAGGACCGGAGCATCCCTGCTTCTACCTCCCATTGGTCCCCAGCTCTTCTTGACCAGAGGAGCCCCAATCCCCTTTGCACAATGGTGAAGACAACCTCTCTTGATGGGGGTCTCCCTTTGGGCTTCCCACCTTTGCCCAATCTCCTCTTCTCCTCTTTGGGGGTGATTCTGTAAGGTGGAAGGCTTTAATGGGTTGCTGTGAGTTTTCCATGCTGTATGGCGATGTTCCAGAAGCATTCTCTCCTGACATTTCACCTCCATCTATGGCAGACATCCCCAGATTGTGAGGTCTGTTGGAAACTAGGCAAGAGGGGGTTATCTGTGGAATGTCCAGGGTGAAAGAACTCTTGTCTGTTTGAGGCAGGTGTGAATGTTACAATTGGTCGCCTTGATTAGCATTGAATGGCCTTGCAGCTTCAAGGTTAGGCTGCTTGCTGCCTGGGGTAATCCTTTGTTGGGAGGTGTTTTCTTGTCTGGAATTCCCCTGTTTTAGAGTGTTGTTCTTTATTTACTGTTCCTATTAAAATCCACAAGAATGTGGACAATTTCAACAGAAAGGAGGAAACCATGAAAATGAACAAAATCTGGCTACCAGTGTTAAAAAGCTATATAATCAGGACAGTAACTAAAGAAGATCACTCAGAAGAGAGGAATTCCAGACAGGAAACAATCAGGGCCATCCAACACCTCCCAACAAAGGATTCCTCCAGGCTGGAAGCAACCAGACCTTGAAGCTGCAGGGCCATTCAATCAAGTTGGCCAATTGCAACATTCACACTTTCCTCAAACAAACAAGACTTCTATCTCCCACCTGGACCTTCCACAGATAAACCCCACTTGCCTAGTTTCCAACAGATCTCACAACCTCTGAGGATGACTGCCATAGTAAAGGTAAAGGCTTCCCTTGACATCAAGTCTAGTCGTGTCCGATTCTGGGGGGTGGTGCTCATTTAAATTTCTAAGACAAAGTGTCGGCTTTGTCCGTAGATGCCTCCTAGGTCTTGAACTCTTGTCTGTTGGGGTTAGGTGTGAATGTTTCAACTGGCCACCTTGATGGTCTGGCAGTTTTTTGGTGTGGCTTGTTAGTGCCTGGAGCAATCTTTTGTTGAGAGGTGATTACCTGTCCCTGATTGTTTCTTCTCTGAAGTTTCCCTGTGTTGGAGTGTTGTTTTACTATTATAATTTTAGACTTTTTAAAATACTGGTAGACAAGAGTTTCTCCCACTCTGGACCTTCCACAGATAAACCTAACTTTCCTAGTTTCCAGCAGTCTTCACAACCTCTGAGGATGCCTGCCATAGATGCAGGCAAAACGTCAGGAGAGATTGCTTCCGGGACATGGTCATACATTCCCAAAAACTTAAAACAACCCACCTTATAGAGTTGCTGTGAGTTTTTTGGGCTGTATGGCCATGCTCCAGAAGCATTATCTGCGGACGTTTTGCTTGCATCTATGGCCATACAGCCCGAAAAACTTACAACAACCCAGTGATTCCAGGGTGATAGTATGATAGCTGGGTCCGGAAGCTCCAAGCGTTATGGAGATGCCGCAAAGGCAGCTGTGAATAAGAGAAGAGAGAGGGCAGCGTGAGAGTGGGGAGAGCGAAGGAAGGATAGAAAGGAGGGGATGCTTAGGGTAAGGGTTAGGGCAAGGGTTGTGATTAGGTTAAGGGTTGGGGTTTTGGTTAGGATACGGTTTAGGGTTACGGTAAGGGTTAGGGTAAGGGTTAGGGTTTTGATTTGAGTTAGCGTAAGGGTTAGGCGGAGGGTTAGGGTAAGGTTTAGGGTTTGGGTTAGGGTTACAGTTAGGGTAAGAGTTAGTGGTTACGGTCAGGGTACGGTTTAGGGTAAGGGTTAGGATAAGGTTTAGGGTTAGGGTAAGTGTAAAGGTTACGGGTAGGGTAATAGTTAGGAGTTACGGTCAGGGTACGGGATGAGGCCGGTTTAGGGTAAGGTTTAGGGTTTGGGTTAGGGTTACGGGTAGGGTAAGGGTTAGGGTTTATGGTTAGGCTTACAGTAGGGTTCAGGGTGAGGGTAAGGGTTAGGGCAACGGTTTCACCATTAACGAACTCTTACATTCCTTCTATATTATCTGTCTCCGGCCTGGCTTACATTAGCTAAGTGTCTCTTGCGCAAACAGCGCTCCCGAAGGAGAGATGCAGCATCTCCGTATCCGTCGGCGCTTCCCGGCCCAGCTATCATACTATTACCTGATTCTAGCCATGAAGCCGTCGACAAGACCCTGCAAGGTGGATTGGGATGCGCTAGAAGCCCGGAGCTCTTCCCTTCGCTGTTGCTCCTGCGCCAGAGCCCCCGCTTTTCCGCAGCGCGGACGGAGGCCCCGCCCCCTGCCTTGAAAAGCGGGGGCGCGCGAGGGGCGCCTCTCCAGACGCCTCCAGGATGAGCTTCGGGTCGGACGCGCACTACCTGTCCTCCTCCTCCTCGGTCTCCTCCTCCTCCTACCGGAAGGTCTTCGGGGAGGGGACCCGCTACTCCTCGCACCGGCTGGGCTTGCCGCGGGGCTATGGCTCTCCCTCGGCGGCGCCGCCCGCCTTGCCCTCGCTCCGCCTGGAGGCGCTGGAGCTAAGCCAGGCCTCGGCGCTGGGCGAGGAGCTCCGCCTGGCGCGCACCAGCGAGAAGGAGCAGCTGCAGGGCCTGAACGACCGCTTCGCGGGCTACATCGAGAAGGTGCGGCAGCTGGAGCAGCGGAACCGGGCGCTGGAGGCCGAGCTGGGCGCCGCCCGTCAGCGCGCCGCCGAGCATCCCCGCCTGGCCGAGCTCTTCCAGGCCGAGCTGCGGGAGGCGCGGGCGCGGCTGGAGGGCTGCGAGGCGGCGCGGGCGGAGGCGGCGCTGGAGCGGGAGCGCCTGGCCGAGGAGGCGGAGCGGCTGCGGGCGGCGGGCGAGGCGGAGGCGCGGGCGCGGGCCGAGGCGGAGGCGGCGCTGCGGACCCGGCAGCGGGAGAGCGAGGGCTCCGCCTTGGCCCGCCAGGCCCTGGAGCGCAAGCTGGAGGCGCTGCTCGACGAGCTGGCCTTCGTGCGCCAGGCCCACGCCGAGGAGCTGGCCGAGCTGCAGCGCCCGCCGCCCGCCCCGGAGCCCGCCCACGCCCACCCCCCGCGCCCCGAGCTGGCCTCCGCCCTCAAGGAGCTCCGCGTCCAGTACGAGGGCCTGGCCGCCCGCAACCTCCAGGCCGCCGAGGAGTGGTTCCGCGGCAAGTGCGCCACCCTCAGCCAGCAGGCCGCACGGGGCGCAGAGGCCGTCCGCGCCAGCCGCGACGAGGCCGGCGAGTACCGCCGACAGCTCCAGGCCCGAAGCCTCGAGGCCGAGAGCCTCCGCGGAGCCAATGAGGCCCTCGAGAGGCAGCTCCACGACGCCGAGGAGAGGCACCACGCCGAGGCCCTGGGCCTCCAGGTGAAGCCCCGCGGGGGAGGGGGGAGAGCAGTGCATTCTGCCATCATCATCATCATCATCATCATCAGGGCAGGGGGTTGGGTGTCATGGCCCCCACCTCAAGGGCAACAGAGGGGTCTCCAGACTGATACTAAGGCTGCATAGGGGTGAGCTAAAGGACACTCTACAACAACTGGAAGGTCAATCTCCAGCCTTATAGTCTCACTCTGCCATCATCATTAGAGTAGGGGCTTGGGTTTCATGGCCCCCACCTCAAGGGCAATAGAGAGCTGACCAGGTTGATGCTCAATCTGCATAAGGTGGAGCCAAGGGACACTCAATAACATCTGGAAGGTCAATCTCCATCCTCTGCACTCTGCCATCATTATCAGGGCAGGAGGTTGGGTTTCAAGGCCCCCACATCAAGGGTAGAAGAGGGCTCACCAGGTTGATGCTTAGTCCCCATAAGGTGGAGCCAAAGGACACTCCATAACATCTGGAAAGTCAGTCTCCATCCCCTGCACTCTGCCATCATTATCAGGGCAAGTGGTTGGGTGTCATGGCCCCAACTCAAGGGTATTAGAGGGTTCACCAGGTTGATGCTTAGTCCCCATAAGGTGGAGCTGAAGGACACTCTACAACATCTGGAAGGTCAGTCTCCATCCTCTGCAGCTATCATCATCAGGGCAGGGGATTGGGTGCCATGACCCCCACCTCAAGGGAAGAAGAGGGCTCACCAAGTTGATGCATAGTCCCCATAAGGTGGAGCTGAAGGACACTCTACAACACCTGGAGGGTCAGTCTCCATCCTCTGCACTCTGCCAGCATCATCAGGGCAGGGGGTTGGGTGTCATGGCCACCACCTCAAGGGCAGGAGAAGGCTAGCCAGGCTAATGCCAAGGCTGCATAAGGTTGAGCTGAAGGACACTTCCCAACATTTATTTATTTATTTAGAACTTTTATATACCCGTCTTCTCACCTCTGCAGAGGGACTCAGGCCAGAGTCTGGAAGGTCAGTCTCCATCCTGAGCCTTATAGTAGCCATGGGCAAACTAAGGCTCCCCAGATGTTTTTGACTCTCACAGTTGTAGGAGTTGAAGCCCAAAGCACCTGGAGGGCCGAAGTTTGTCCATGCCTGCTTATAGTTGAACTGTCATCATCACCATCATGGTAGCAGGGGGTGGACTCCATGTTCCTTGTGAGCTCTTCCAGCTCTATGGTCCAAGGCTGGATCTCCCCAGTATGTCTACTGTCCCCCCTTCTCCCCAAAGGCAATAGACAGCTCACCAGGCTGATGCTCAGTCTGCGGAAGGAGGAACTGAAAGACACTCCACAACATCTGGCAGGTCAATCTCCATCCTCTGCACTGAGTTTTATAGTCTTAATCTATTGTCTTTGGCATCACCATCATCATCCTGACAGGGGGTTGGACTCCATGTTCCTTTGTGACCTCTTTCAGATCTATGATCCATGGCCGGATCTCCCCAATATGTCTGCTGCCCCCCCCCCCACCCAAGGGCAGTAGACAGCTCTCCAGACTGGTGCTCAGTCTACATAAGGTTGAACTGAAGGACACTCCACAACATCTGGAAGGTCAATCTCCATCTTCTATACTGAGCCTTGTAGTCTCAATCTGTCATTCTCATCATGGCAAGGAGGCGGACTCCAGGGCCCTTTCATCTCTTCCAACTCTGAGATCCAAGGCTGGATCTCCCCAGTATGTCTGCTGCCCCCCACCCCCACCCCCAGGCAGTAGACAGCTCTCCAGAGTGGTGCTAAGGCTGCAAAAGGTTGAGCCGAAGGACACCACACAACATCTGGAAGATCATTATCTGTCAATATCGCCATCATCATYGTGGGGGGGGGGGGTCAGACTCCACGGCCCTTGTGATCTCTTCCAGCTCTATCATCCAAGGATGGATCTCCCCAGTATGTCTACTGTAAACATCCACTGCCCACCCATGAGCAAAATGTGGTTTCACAGGTGTTGCTAGGTGGAATCTTCTGCACAATACTTTACAGTCCCAAGCAATCTGCCTTAATATCATGAATGCATCAGATCCCATCTTAGTCCTTGAATTGGATGCTTTCAATGAATTCTATTGGCTATATTTCAGAGGAAGGAACTGGCAAAACACCTCTGAGTATTCCTTGCCTAACAAAATCCTGTGGCATTCATGAGGCCCCCATAAGTCAACATGAAGGCACACATGAGCATGCACACACATCCTACACAGAAGGGCCTACATTAAAATAATAGAAGTTTAGATTCAAAAGAGATTACCCAGTCCAAGACTGTACCATGCAGGAATCAAACCATTCCCAATGGATAGCCATTCAGCCACTTGAAAACCCCTTTTCTTCTCTATTCCCAACAAGCAACACAAAGTTCAGTGGTGAGAGAACACTGACCTGTTTTAAGAACACATTTGCCAAGCACAATGTGATCACTTGGATCCAAATCTGGATTTTCTTTGTCTGAAAAACTGTTTGGGAATTGTATTTCTTGAGCTTTATTACCAATCACTGTAGAAAAAATACAGAGAAAGCTGAAGCACCAGTTTGGCACCTATTGTTGGGCCAGTCTGTTTGCACCCCATATGCTCCTTATCTGTACTGCCAGGGTAGGTATGCATATTTCATTCAGTGCAGAATCTAGTGCCTTTAGGCATCTGAAAGCAGGTTTGTGCACTTTTCTCTTTCCCCCCTGAATTGCTTTTGTGCTGGTTTCACTAGGCATAACTGTCCCTTGGGGCTTGCATTCGCCCATTATGATGGCTTAATGTGATCGCAACAACGGGTCTGTATTTTAAAAAGGATATTGTCAGCTTTGAACTATCAGTGTCTCATACAAATACATTGTAAATCCTTCCTTTGCCACACTGAAAAGGAGTTGCCTGCACAGCCTGAAACACAGCTTAAAGATGGAGAAAATGTCCCTGTCCATGGTGCTGAATAATAGATACCGTACTACTTGTTTTATGCTTTAGCAGATCCCTGCTTAATTTGTTTGTACGTGGGACCTGCAGTGCACTTTGTCAGTGCAGAAAGCTCCTCCTCAGGGTCTCAGTTACCCAGTCCATGGTGCCATCTTCCAGAAAATGTGATATTGATTCCCTAATTCCCCTTATTTTTCCCTGCTCATATGTCAATGTTTCGTTGTTCTAGTCACATCAACTGTTTTTTCCCTCCACACTACATTGGATCCTTGGTATCTGCTGGAGTTTGATTCCAGAGCAAGGACCCATGATGGCACAATGGGTTAAACCTTTTTGCCAACTGAACTGCTGACCTGAAGGTCGGCAGTTCAAATCCACAAGATGGGGTGAGCTCCTGTCTGTTAGCTCCAGCTTCCCATGTGGGGACATGAGAGAAGCCTCCCACAGGATGGTAAAAAATCTGTGCATCTCCTGGGCAACATCCTTGCAGACAGCCAATTCTCTCACACCAGAAACAACTTTCATGTCGCTTCTGACATGAAAAAAAAAATCCAGGACACATGTGGATACCAAAATCCATAGATACTCACACTCCATTATACAATGGCATGGTTAAATACCATGTATGAAATGGTAAAATTAAGGTTTGAATTTGAAATATTTGGAAGGGGGAGGTATTTACAAGCTGTGAATGGCTGAATCTGTGAATATGAAGGGCTAATTATTAGTAGCACTCTGATAACACTTTGTCACTGCTCCATTCTGTGCAGTCTTGGATTTGTCATTTTCATGGGATATTTAGAATTCTCAGCCAAATAACACAAGTACCTCACAAACTACAAATCCTAAGAGTACTTAATTTACAGCTGTGGGAGTTGAAGTGGTATCAAAAGCATTATTGTTGCATATATTTCGCTTAGGCGTTGTTGCATGGCTGTTCCTTCTTCTTACATGGATGTTAATGATTGTGACTATAGTTTAAAAATTTAGACCCTTTAACACCCCCCTCAGGTCATCTGGACTGCCATAGCAGCTTACAACAACAACAACAACAACATTAACGTTTATTTATATCCCTTCCCCTCTCCCTAGGGTACTTACTTACTTACTTACTTAGGGATCCCTCATAGCTCGAGGATGATGGTCCTCTAAGTACAGTATTTTGTCAGTGGGTCCGTAGGTGGATGTGGAACCCTATTCTCGATCCACATGTTCTCCTGCAGTGAGGACATTGGTTTCCAGGTGGAAGGCAGTCCTGGACAGGGTTGGCTTGACGTGCCTTTCTCTTGGCACATTTCTCTCTTTTGCCCTCCATTTGTGCTTCTTTAAATTTTGCAGTACTACTGATCACAGCTGACCTCCAGTTAGAGTGTTCAAGGGCCAGGGCTTCTCAGTTCTCAGTGTCTATGCCACAGTTTTTAAGGTTTGCTTTAAGCCCATCTTTAAATCTCTTTTCTTGCCCACCAATTTTATGTTTCCTGTTCTTGAGTTAGGAGTATAGTAACTGCTTTGGGAGATAGTGGTTGGGCATTTGGACAATGTGGCCAGTCCATACAAAATACAGCACAATCAAGTAACAAAAATTAAACAGTAAAGTTATGAACATTAGATTAAAAGCACAGTTATTCTAATATCACTAAAACAGAGCAAACAGAAAAGCAGCATAAAAGACAAACGGAGAGAAGGATTTCAACCTAATCAAGGTGGTCAGTTGAAACATTCACACCTAGCTCCAACAGACAAGAGTTCTTTGTCCCACCCTGGTCATTCCACAGATACATAAACCCATTTTCCTAGTTCCAACAGACCTCACTACCTCTGAGGATGCTTGCCACAGATGCAGGCAAAACGTCAGGAGAGAATGCCTCTAGAACATGGCCATATACCCCGAAAAACCAACAACCCAGTGATTCCAGCCATGAAAGCCTTCGACAATACATTGAACACAACTATTTTTGTACAATGCACAAATGGTTTTAGAGTTTGCATTGTGTATGTATAGCACTGAGCTGTCAGCAGTGATAATTACAGATTAAGAAACAACGTGAGGGTTTCATTCAAATGTTAATCGCATAGCAGAGAGGGAGAAAGTTAAATCTTGTCTTTTGTACAAATAATTCGCAGTTGATATATTACATTGTTTTTTTCTGGGCATCAGCAATGTCTGTTTTCATTCAAATGATTAGAAATTGTGGTCTGTTATATAAGCAAGTAGTTCATGTCTTTTGATTAATATTGTGAATATGTTCCAGTGTAATTTAATATTACATTGTAATTGGGACCAAAGAGACTACAGAGTAGTCATTTATATATTATAATCTTAATGCTTTGTGAAAAGTACTTGGAAGTACAGCAGATATTTAGAATAACATAAAGCTGATTTATCCTGTATTCCTGAAACTGAACTAATTATAAAATTATGCACTTATAAAATGATGGAATATTAAATGCATAGTATTTGGATTTTAGTTCCATCCGTTTGATGTCAAAGCACATGAATTTCTATGGATTGAACTAGAGAATTTAATAAAATAGTTTAAAGGCTGCAGAGAGCATTTTACAAAAAAACCCCACCATTTGTGTGTGTGTGTGAGGATTGACTTGAGAAACTGTAAGTTACTTCTGATGTGAGAAAATAGGCCGTCCGCAAGGACGTTGCCCAGGGGACGCTTGGATGTTTTACCATTTTGTGGGAGGCTTCTCTTATGTCCCCACATGAGAAGCTGGAACTGACAGATGGGCGCTCACCCCACTCCCTGGATTCGAACCACCAACCTTTCAGTCAGCAGTCCTGCTAGCACAAGAGTTTAACCCATTGTGCCACTGGGGGACAAAAACCAATATAGGGTATGAACTGTTACAAGAAAATTATTCCCTTAATTATAAAATTTCAAAGTTTAAAGGTTATACATAATTTACATCTTATACCCTATACAGATTTACATTTTATATAAAATTTTATCTTTGGTAGCTAATGCTAGCATCAGGGATAACAGCAATTTGATGTTTTGGTTCTGCAATGTATTTCACTTCTTTTCCCTCTGTATGAAGCACTAGTGTATATCCTCTTGGAAAGCAACATCTACAGGCCAAACAATGCAACCACCTCATTTTGCTTCCTTAGGCTGCTCATTAAACTTGTATATTCCCCAAATGTACAATAGAAGTGCTTATGTCATGTTATGTAAGGGGTGTTCCTCAGTTCATGAAGCTCAAGTGTTCCTAATCATTGCTTCTTTAAGGAAAATAAGGATACTAAGAGGCAGAAATAGAATCCCACACCAAAAAGAAGAAAAGCAGTTCAGTATGATTCAACAAACATTTTATTCAAAATAGTATGAATATGTGAAATGAAACAACCAGATCAGCTAAGACTTGTATGTATAAACAAAAATAATTTGAATCTTCTAGAGACCAATTGAAGGTACTTTCCAAAATGAATCCAGAGATGACTTTTTCTTTCCCTAGCCCTCACTTTTCTTACTATTTTCCATTTTTGTGACTCTTCCAACAAGCTGTGGGGCAGCTGGTGATGTAGGGTGATCTGCTCTCCTGTTCTCTGGGACTTTTTTTGTTCATGCAGACTTAACACATCTATAGTAGAATTGGCAAGAGAGGAAATCTGCTCTTCCCCAGCAAAAGCTTTGTTTATTGTTTGTTCACTGCAGATGTGTTGCTGCAACCCGATACTTAAAAATCTGTGTCTTTCCACTCCTTAACTATCTTCCCAATGCCAATGGGTTGAGTTACTTTTCGTGGTCACATATATTTTAATTAGAATTTCAGTTTGTCTGGTGTTTAACGTATTTTCTGCAGTGAATTAACAAAGCTTTATTTATTTTTCATCCTAATTGGTGAAGCTGCTCAGCTATGTTGTTGGCATTTAAATATTGTCATTTCCGTTTTCCATCTCTTTGTGTTGTAGGACAACGTCAATCAGCTGGAGAGTGAACTGAGGGAAACCAAGAGTGAAATGGCTCGGCACCTGAGGGAATATCAAGATTTACTCAATGTCAAGATGGCACTGGATATAGAAATAGCAGCATACAGGTAACAGTAGCTATCAAAGTCCTGGTATAGCTACTTAAACTGTGGGAAACCAAATTAAAGTTCATGTGGTTATGTACTGTCCTGTGGGTTTGGTAGGAGATACTTTATCAGAAAAGGTTAAACTGGAGTTGGCAAAATGGAATAAGAAAGAGCATTGTATAACTTCTAGGTAGATGTTTTTGAATCAAATGGAGATTCTTGTGCTTGAAGACTAGCAAATCTATTGCACCACAGACTTTTCTGACTTATGACATAATAGATATTTGAGGCGCTAAAAGGCTATTGTGCAATAACTATCTCACTGGAGGCAGCTATTACTGGTAGAGGTTGAGTCCCAGTGGAGGACTTATTTGAGACTTTGTTATGCTATTACAAGTTGTGCTGTGTGTTACACAGAGTCTGTCTCTACAGAGGAACCATATGGAAACTCTTAAAAGGAAAAAAAGAAGAAAATAACATATTTATAGAGTGGACAGCATCTGAGATGATTCATTTGATGTTTCTGACACTAGATCTTCACATATCTTAACCTCCTTGCCTTTCATTACGACTTTATCATGATTCCTCAGAACTATTTTACTGGCTTCTTTGTGCTCTGTAGAGACCCAACTGTCTAGTTCAGTGTTTCTCAGCCTTCCTAATGCCACAACCCTTTAATACAGTTCCTCGTGTTGTGGTGATCCTCAACCATACAATTATTTTCATTACTACTTCATAATCGTAATTTTGCTACTGTTATGAATTGTAATGTAAATATCAGTTATGCAGGATGTATTTTCATTCACTGGACCAAATTTGGCATGAATACCCAATACACCCAAATTTGAAAATGGTGGGATGGGGGTGGGGATTGATTTTGTCATTTGGGTGTTGTAATTGCTGGAATTTATAGTTAACCTGCAATCAAAGAGCATTCTGAACTCCACCAATGACGGAATTGAACCAAACTTGGCACACAGAAATCCCATGACCAACAGAAAATACTGGGTTTGGTGGGCATTGACCTTGAGTTTTAGAGTTGTATTTCACCTACATTCAGAGAGCACTGTGGACTCAAACAATGATGAATCAGGAACAAGCTTGGCACAAATATTCGATATGCCCAAATGTGATATCTGGTGGAGTTTGGGGAAAATAGACTTGACATTTGGGAGTTGTAGTTGCTGGGATTTATAGTTCACCTACAATCAAAGAGCATTCTGAACCCCACCAACATAGAATTGAGCCAAACTTCCCACACAGAACCCCCATGACCAACAGAAAATACTGTGTTTTCTGATGGTCTTTGGCAACCCCTCTGACACCCCCTCATGACCCCCCAGGGGTCCCGACCCCCAGGTTGCTAGTCTAGCTGCATATCATGCCACCAAAATGCATATTGATATATTGTATCCTAACTCATAAATCTAGTAAGAATTGCTCAATTTGGTCAGATATTTCTAAACTGTTCAAACATGTAATTGATATGATTTTAAAAATACAGCTACAACACCTTTTTATCTTAAGCTCTGTTGAGTGGTGTTGAAATTCCACGTGGGTTTTTAAATTCTACTGATCATCACTGTTTTATTGTAGTGCTTTTTTCTTTACCTAAATGGTCTAATAATCAGTTATTTATTTATTTACAGTATTTATATACCGCTTTTCTCACCCCTAGGGGGACTCAAAGCGGTTTACACATAGATAATGGCAAAAATTCAATGCCTTACAACTACAATAGTAAAACCACACTTTAAACATAAATTATATAAACAGTACATCATCAAATATCAAAACAGTTATTAAAACCATAAAACAATCTCATCAGTCGAGTCGCTGTTCCAGTCCTTGTCCCACTAAAAGCTGCATATATCTATTGTCCGAAGGTCTGGTCCCAGAACCATGATTTTAATTTTTTTCTAAAGGTCAGGAGCGAGGGAGCAGATCTTACCTCCTTTGGGAGTGTGCTCCATAGGTGGGGAGCCACAGCCGAGAAGGCCCAGCTCCTCGTCCCTGCCAGCCGCATTTGCGGCTAGAACCAATAATCAGTTAGAATCAATAATCAGATGTTTGGATGGTTAGGAATGGTGTTTAGCTAAACTTTCTTGAATTTGTAGTACATAGGCGGATAGCTGGAAAAAACCCAATAGCTGAGAAAACTTTTGATCTTTTAGGTTTTGATGTAGGAGAAAGCTAATCCAGCATCTAGAGGCTTTGACATATATAAAGAAAGGCAATCAGTGACTTCCTACATTGAACTTGTTCACCCTAAAGTGAATAAAGTCATTATATTTTGCAAGCCTAGTCAGATGATGTAGAACTACAGCATTATGAAGATACCTCACGATCTCTTTCATTTCTGGCTTCTGACAGTTACATTGGCACTACATATCTATACTCACCTGTGTATGAATAAGCTCAATTGAATTTAATGGAATTTAGTTCTAAATATCCATGTTTGTGGTTATTTATTTGCCATATGTATATCCCGCTCTTCTCAATCCCAAAGGGGACTCAGAGCGGTGAGTGCATAAGTTGCATATAACTTTTTTTATCATGAATGATAAAGTATTTTATGAATATGGTTTAATTTGGGGCAAATATCATAAATCATAATAATGATCTCTTCTTCTATTTATCTTATAGGAAACTGTTGGAAGGTGAAGAGACACGTTTTAGCACTTCCAGCATCAACATGAATCCTATTTCCAACCCTAGTATTTATTCCTTCCAACCTAGGTTCTTCAGTTCATCTGTAGTTAGTAGTTCTAAAATGTCCTCCACTCTTTCTTCTAAGAAAGAGGAGAAAGAAGAGGCTAGACTGGCCTCAAAAATGTCATCCAGCCAAGGAGGGGAAGCCTTTGCTGAAGTGATTGAGGAAACCATAACATCCACTAAGAAAACTGAAAGAACAAATCTGGAAGAAGGGAACATGGCAAACCCCAAAATGTAACCTGTTACCTTAAGTACAGTTAGCCTTTAAGGGGGAACAATACAGCTCTTAGACTTCTAAATTTCCTCTACCCAAAGGTGCTTACCCTTTTGTGTACACATAATATTCTGAAGTTCCGCATCACTAGACTAATTCAGTAGGCTCTCCACATTAATGGATTCAGACAGATGGGTTGGAGTCTGAAAGCTTAACATGGAAAAGCTCTGACAAGAATCTACCGGTAATTGGCAAATAACATACTTGTATAATAGCCAGAGCTCACAATTTCTAAATTGAGTAGAGTGAGATTCCAAAATGGCTCCGAGCCAGATGATAAAACACATTTACAGCCCATCTTAAATGTCTCAGAGCTTCTTCATACTTCTGATATCCCCGAATTTGCCATCCACTCTCAACTGAAAAGTAAGCACAGCATTTGATAGGATCATTGGATAATGTCAACTTATGAAGAAGTGCAGTTTCATTCCCATCACTTGCCTCTTCAGACAAAGAATTCATGGATAGGTTGCTGTGAGTTTTCCAGGCTGTATGGCCATGTTCCAGAAGCATTCTCTCCTGACATTTTGCCTACATCTGTGGCAGGCATCCTCACAGGTTGAGGGGTCTGTTGTTGAGGAGTCAATGCTTCTGGAATATGACCATACAGCATGAAAAACTCACAGTAACCCATTGATTCCAGCCATGAAAGCCTTTGACAATTCATAGATAACTGGATGCTGCTTTACTTGCTTCCCAGTCTTTGGGGAATATTGTGCCAGATGTTTTTTGCTTGCCTTGCTATTCCATCTGTGTATTTTATAAAGAAGCACAATGCATATAGAAACTTGGCACAATCAGCTTCCAATGTGTGAGCTTGTTTAGGAAGATGGGATGTATAGCACACCGCACAATTCGGTCAGATCAAGGTTGTTCCATTGACGCATAAGGAAATTTGTGTTTAGCTGCGATTAAAATGTCATGAAGAAGCACTTAATACATTTTCCCTATCCTGGGATTATTCCCAGTTATTTGATCAAGCTAAGTCTAGTGTATTCTTCCCCTTTAAAAAAAGTCTATATGATCAAATCATTAGAACTCTTTGATTAGAAAGGTGCATGTCCAGCCATTTCTGTGATTACCCATGGACCACTGTTCTCACCATTTCTTGTGCCATATTAGCAATTACGTAGACTCAATAGTGCCAGCTATTGAAGAATTAAAGGTCACACGTATGCTGTAACTAGATTTTAGTCATAGCTGCCTATCAAAACATGGCTAAAAGAAAAAGGTTCACGCTCTTGAATTATCTGGAAGCACAGAGTCTTATTGTTGTTTCAAAAGTAGAGACACCTGCTACTTCCTATAGCTATACTCCACAATTTGAAATCATAAATAGCCCTGCTTTTGATTCACAAATAGAAAAAGGAGTGTAGATTATACCAGCTGCTTATTTCTTTGTTATTGAAAGCAATAGTGTTTCTATGTGCTATACTGATATAAGGTTTGTTAAAAGATTTTTCTGTAATGTATTTTCTTAAATACATTCACTGGCGCATGTTAAGCTCACTAGTGAATTATAGTTGCTCTTCTGACCTTTTTTCTGATAGGTTAAATGGGGCACATTTGTTTGGCTGTGCTGGCCAGACTTGGAAGTAATGCAGCTGAATGCACACCTAAACACACACAAATCACTTCTGTTTGATAAACAACTGGTGCTGTAGACTGCTAAGTAGAATTCTGATCTTTTCCAAAAAGAGTAATCACTGGGAGGGAAAGATTCACACCTTGTCTCTTCCCCGACATCCAAAAAGAAGAGTTCTGATACAGTAGAATCCTATTTACCACCTTGGTCTCCCAGTCTTCAGGATACATCTTCAGTCTTATCATTTGAATATGTGCCAAGTTTTATATAAAATTTACTAACGTAGATTTTATTTCAATGCCTTAAATTTGCCAGCAAAATTGCTTTCTGCAGAAGCTGAAGACTGTGTGTAATGTGAAGTGTTTGTACTGATGCATTCTGCCACAACATTTGAGAACACAAAACCATTATGTGTTATCCATGTGACTGCAATAGTTCCCTGAACTAAGAGAAAGTGTTTGCTCATATTCTTTCCTCCTCTTCTGTAAGGCACAAATAAATAAAAGATTATATAACTTTAAGAAACCTGTTTATCCTTTGTGATATTTTGACTTTAAATTTTCGATGCTGATCATTTTAACATTAGTTATCTTCAGGCAAAGCTACATATGATGCATGGTCAAAAATAAAGGGTTGGGTTGGTAAGCCCTAATTGAGTGCCGAAAACAATTCTCTCCCTAAAAACATCATAAGGGCCACCTAAAAGATGTTATGGTTCTTACACTACAGCATCCTGCAGCTATTACTTTCAGGATAAATAATGTAATTATTTGTTTAGTACTACAGTTGGATGAGCTGTAATATTTTTAAAAGGAATGAAGTTTTAGCAAATAATGAATAGAAAGACTACAAATGACTTTTTGGCGTCTTTAGGTAAAGGTTTTCCCCTGTCATTAAGTCTAGCCATGTCTAGTCATGTCCAATTCAATTCCATTTGTAAGCCAAAGAGCCAGCGTTGTCCGTAGACACGTTCAAGGTCATATGGCTGGCATGACTGCATGGAGCGCCGTTACCTTCCCACCGGAGCGATACCTACTCACATTTGCATGTTTTCAAACTGCTGGGTTGGCAGAAGCTGGGGCTAATAGCGGGAGCTCATGCCGCTCCCCAGATTCGAACCTGCGACCTTTTGGTTAGCAAGTTCAGCAGCTCAGCGGTTTAACACACTGTGTCACCAGGGGTTCCTTTTGGCACCTTTAACAACCCCATATTTTAAAAGGAAATTCAAGTTAGCTATTTCTGACATTTGAATATTGAAATAATCTGATTTGCATCAGAAAAGGAATGAAACTGGTCCATTGCAACTGTCTTTATTTAGTTGATCTGAAGATCTGTTGTAGTCATACCTCCTGATAATTTAGTCCCTCTTCCAACTTTAGCTGAGCTTCATTACCATGTTTGACACTTGACTGCTTTGGGGCACTTTGTCAATTTTGGAGCAGACAACTTTGGAGTTTCTGCTCTCTGTGCCTTTGTTCCCTGCTGTGTAATGTTCTTTCTCTTCTTTGTATGTGAGATCTCTTTTGTCACTTTGCAGCTATTTTCTGCTTATACAACCCGACAGGCTGAGAAGCTGTCAAATTATGCTATCATCTTGCCCCTTTGGGAAAGTCAAAGCACTTGATTGCGTACACCAGCTGATTCACTCATCTAGCACAAAGTCTAAAACAACTTATCTTATGTTGTGTGCGAATGTTTACTTGTTGAAATACATAGATTCAAGAGACCACAGTTAAACCCCTGGCCATGCAGGAAAACACAATTAATGCACTCCCGACAGATGGCTACCCAAACTTTAAAAACCTCCATAGAAGGAAAGTCCACTACTTGAAAATACCCAACTTCAAAATAGTGAAAAATCATGTTTCCAGACTACAATACCTTGAAGGAATATTTGCCTTGTTCATATTTTGTTGGAATACAACTTAGATTGAAATGGATATAATTAGTGTTGACACCTAATGTGAAGGTGTGTAGTTTTTTTTTTTTACTTTGCCACACATTATATAAACAAAACCTGGTGCTGGGTTGCATAGATATTTGTGCCTGAATTCATATTTGATGGAGAACTCACAGAAATAACAGCTAGGAGTTCTTTTGGGCAAGAACTCATAGTTTTAGCTGTTTAAAATTCTTGGCCTGCTGAGAGATGAACCTTCAGCCTAGTGCCAGGCAGAACCTTTTATCCAGATTTGCCCCTGCATTTGGCTTCATCTATTTGCCCTCCATCCTGACAAAGCAAAACCACCCCCAGAATATGGTGCTGTTACTACCATGATTCACCATGGGAATGTTCTGAGGGATACACTGCTTTGCACCACACACTGAATCTTCTAGCAAGGTCAACAATTCGGTTTTAATATAGTTATACAAAATCCCATTTTCCCACGTGCTTGCTGTCTCCCACATTTTATGCAAATTTCAAATGGGATTTTATGGCGTTTGCTCAAGCAATTGCTTTCTTCTTGCTACTTCCATAAAGCTCTGTTTTGTGAAGCAATCATGTAGAATCATAGAATCATAGAATCAAAGAGTTGGAAGAGACCTCATGGGCCATCCAGTCCAACCCCATTCTGCCAAGAAGCAGGAATATTGCATTCAAATCACCCCTGACAAATGGCCATCCAGCCTCTGCTTAAAAGCTTCCAAAGAAGGAGCCTCCACCACACTCCGGGGCAGAGAGTTCCACTGCTGAACGGCTCTCACAGTCAGGAAGTTCTTCCTAATGTTCAGATGGAATCTCCTCTCTTGTAGTTTGAAGCCATTGTTTCGTGTCCTAGTCTCCAGGGAAGCAGAAAACAAGCTTGCTCCCTCCTCCCTGTGGCTTCCTCTCACATATTTATACATGGCTATCATATCTCCTCTCAGCCTTCTCTTCTTCAGGCTAAACATGCCTTAAGCCGCTCCTCATAGGGCTTGTTCTCCAGACCCTTGATCATTTTAGTCGCCCTCCTCTGGACACATTCCAGCTTGTGTCAATATCTCTCTTGAATTGTGGTGCCCAGAATTGGACACAATATTCCAGATGTGGTCTAACCAAAGCAGAATAGAGGGGTAGCATTACTTCCTTAGATCTAGACACTATGCTCCTATTGATGCAGGCCAAAATCCCATTGGCTTTTTTTGCCGCCACATCACATTGTAGGCTCATGTTTAACTTGTTGTCCACGAGGACTCCAAGATCTTTTTCACACGTACTGCTCTCGAGCCAGGCGTCACCCATTCTGTATCTTTGCATTTCATTTTTTCTGCCAAAGTGGAGTATCTTGCATTTGTCACTGTTGAACTTCATTTTGTTAGTTTTGGCCCATGTCTCTAATCTGTCAAGATCGTTTTGAATTCTGCTCCTGTCCTCTGGACTATTGGCTATCCCTCCCAATTTGGTGTCGTCTGCAAGCTTGATGATCATGCCTTCTAGCCCTTCATCTAAGTCGTTAATAAAGATGTTGAACAGGACCGGGTCCAGGACGGAACCCTGCGGCACTCCGCTCGTCACTTCTTTCCATGATGAAGAGGAAGAATTGGTGAGCACCCTCTGGGTTCGTCCATTTAACCAATTACAGATCCACCTCACCGTAGTTTTGCCTAGCCCACATTGGACTAGTTTGTTTGCCAGAAGGTCATGGGGGACCTTGCTGAAGGCCTTACTGAAATCAAGGTATGCTACATCCATGGCATTCCCCGCATCTACCCAGCTTGTAACTCTATCAAAAAAGAGATCAGATTAGTCTGGCATGACTTGTTTTTGATAAATCCATGTTGACTATTAGCGATGATCGCATTTGTTTCTAAGTGTTTGCAGACCACTTCCTTAACAATCTTTTCCAGAATCTTGCCTGGTATCGACGTGAGGCTGACCGGACGGTAGTTGTTTGGGTCATCCTTTTTTCCCTTCTTGAAGATTGGGACCACATTGGCCCTCCTCCAATCTGCTGGAACTTCTCCCGTTCTCCAAGAACTCTCAAAGCTGGTTGCCAATGGTTCCGAAATGACTTCCGCTAGTTCCTTCAATACTCTGGGGTGTAGTTGATCTGGCCCTGGGGACTTGAACTCATTAAGAGCGGCCAGGTATTCCGGGACGACTTCTTTCCCAATTTGGGGTTGGATGTCCTCCAATCCCTCATCCACTCCATCTTGCTGAGGTTGAAGACTTCTTTTTGTGAGAAGACTGAGGCAAAGAAGGCATTAAGTAGTTCTGCCTTTTCTCTATCCCCTGTCAGCATTGCCCCATCTTCTCCTCGAAGAGGCCCTATCGCCTCCTTGTTTTTCCTTTTTCTACTGACATAAGAAAAGCAGCCCCTTTTATTGTTTTTAATGTCCCTGGCAAGCCTGAGCTCGTTTTCTGCTTTAGCCTTGCGGACCTTTTCCCTACAGGTGTTGGCTATTTGTTTGAATTCTTCTTTGGTGATTTCTCCCTTTTTCCACTTCTTGTGCATGTCTCTTTTGTGTCTTAGCACAGTTAGAAGTTCTTTGGACATCCATTCTGGCTTCTTTGCACTTGTCCTCTTTTTTCTCTTTGTTGGCACGGTTTGCAATTGCGCCTTGAGTATTTCACTCTTGAGAAATTCCCATCCATCCGTAACTCCCTTGTCTTTTAGTATCTGTGTCCACGGAATGCTGCTCAGCGTTTCCTTCATTTTTTGGAAATCAGCTCTCCTAAAGTCCAAAATGCGGGTTTGACTTGTCTTAGTTTCGGCCTTCCTTTGTACCTCAAATTGCAGGAGCACATGGTCACTTGCCCCTAAGGATCCTACCACTTTGACCGCATCGATCAGGTCCTCCATTTGTTAGGATGAGATCAAGAGTAGCCAATCCCCTTGTTGCCTCTTCTACCTTCTGGACCATGAAATTGTCTGCAAGGCAAGCGAGGAATTTGTTGGACCTTGTACTCTTGGCCGAGTTTGTTTTCCAGCAAATATCGGGATAGTTGAAATCTCCCATGACTACTACATCTCTTCTCTGTGCCTGTTTGGTCAACTGTTGGCAGAAGACTTCATCAAGTTCTTCCTCCTGGCTTGGAGGTCTGTAGTAGACGCCTACAACGACATCTTTTTGAGTCCCAGTTCCCTTGATTCTTATCCAGATGATTTCAAGCTGGTTTCCCAGATTGCTGTCTTGAATCTCTTCTGCAGCATAAGAGTTTTTGACATATAAGGCTACTCCGCCTCCTCTCCCCTTTGTTCGGTTTCTGTGAAAGAGGTTATACCCCTCGATATCTACATTCCAGCGATAGGAGTCATCCCACCAGGTTTCAGTGATCCCTATGATATCATATTTGTGGTGGTGTGCTAAAAGTTGGAGTTCGTCTTGTTTATTTCCCATGCTCTGTGCATTAGTGTAAAGACATGTGAGCCCCTGAGATCTTCCCTTGAGCTGTTTAATTGGGATTATTGTGCTTTTGGTACTTGGTCCTTGTTGTGTTTGTGCAGCCCTCCGTTTAGCCTTCTGGCGATTCCCAGACATTATGGGTAAAGTAGTGTTCGCAAGGCTGTTGTCCCCCTCCCCCGGTGGACCTAGTTTAAAGTGCGTCTAATGAGGTTTGCGAGTCTGTGAGCAAAAAGATATTTTCCTACTTGTGTAAGATGTACCCCATCACTTGCCAGTATGCCATCCTCCTGGCAAAGCAGGCCATGGTCGAGGAAGTTAAAGTGTTCCTCCTGACACCATTTTCTAAGCCAGTTATTGACCTGTACTATTTTTCTGGCTCTTGTGGGTGATATCTGTCCTATGGACAATTACTCCCATCTTAGCTGTAGATCTCTCCAGTTTCTTCTGAGTTACCACTCCACTCCTGAGTGCTTCTTTGACTAATGTCCTCTTTACACATGACTAGGTTTTGATAGATTGTCTTTTCTAAGCCCAAGTGAAGTTAGCCATATTTCTTTCATTGTTGTAATAATGGTTATGGAGGAAGCTGGGAGGAAGGTGGTAAGAGAGATGTGTGAGTTCAGCAATGTGTGAGTTAAAGAATGATATATAAATGTTATCTGAGGGAGCTGTAACAGAAAGCCTATCCAGAATGGTTATTTATTTAAAATGAAATCTTGAAATAAGGTTTCCCCCTTTTCTTTGTTGATTCACTGCCAGAGCCCATTTTGTACAAAAGGCACATAGAGACACAGTAAAATATATTTTTCCTTAAGATAACCTGGTTGTGAATTGAGAGGAAGAGTCAAAGTGGGACATGTTGGGTAACAAGAAAAGATGTGCCATATGCAGACTCTTTTCTTACTTTGGAAGCTTTGAACAGGATCACAGATGAAACAACGCCATGAATCATCAATAGAACCTCTCCTGCCCCCATTTAGCTAAAAAGCATGTTTTAGGCAGTATCTTTAGGATACAACACAGAAAAACACAGTGCAGTATCCGCCTCTCTGCATTATTATCGTCAGCCACAAAATTATAGCATTAGTCAAGCTGAATAAAAAGAGCAAGGAAAGGAAAATGTTAAGAGCTTGTAAGAGAAGGAGACTGAGTCATTCTGCAGCTGTTTAAAGATTTATATATCTGCAGCATCTCTCTGCTCTGAAATTATGGCAGGCTCAAGTAAGAATTTTAAAAAAGCACAGGCTAATGTTTCAGCAATATATTTCTCTGTAGCATAGATAATGCAATATTATATTACGAGGCTTCATTATCACATAGTATTGATTGATAAGGAATGCTTGAACTAAAACTCCAGTGAAAACTGAGTCCCTGTAAAGCGATAAATGAAGTACATTTTGATTCTAAAATCAGTAGCACAGTTCTCTTGAGAATGATCTTTCAGCTCCTGTAGAATTGGATTGTAAAAATAAAATGTATCACTAAGAATTTCCCAACATCTTGTTTATTTCAAACCATTTTAAATTCAGACTCCTCTTCAGAATGCAAAAAAATCAACCAGCCTTGCTAGTTTGTTCTACGGGAGACATGGGGGAAAAAATTGGATTTCGCAACGGTGACCAATACACACCACACAATATTTGAAAGCTCCTCTGCTGGAGTATATTCACAAAGTGGGAAAAGCAAGACGTTCATGTCTACTGTTTCATAAACACGAATTGTGAAAAAAAGGTTACAGCTAAGGTGAACCAATCAACAATTTCCTAAGTCCTCTTGGATCAGACCAAAGCTCCCTATAGCCCTGCATCCTCACTTTAACAGTAGCCAGTGCTCAAATGCCAGTTATAAGACGACAATTCACACTCATTAGGAAATGGCATTCCAAGACAGAAACATAACGGGATTTTCCATGAAGCAATCAGTTAGTAGTAATTTGATTGAATATTATGATTAAGTTAATCACATCTGGTGAGAGTTCTGCTAAACATAACATATGCAAAGCAAGATAAAATTCTAATGAAGAAAACATGATAATTGGAGGAAGAAACTCCAATAATTTCAAATATGCAGATGACATCATACTTCTAGCACACTGGTTCTCAACCTGTGGTTCCCCAGGTGTTTTTGCCTACAAGACCCAGAAATCCTAGCCAGTTTACCAACTGTTCTAGCAGAAAATAGTGAAAACTTGGAACAATTACTGAAGAAAATCAAGGGAAAAAGTATAAAAACAGGCTTACAGAAGTACCACAAGAGTACAAGCCAAGATGACTAAATTGAGACTATTATATTTTGGCCATATCACAAAAAAACATGACTCACTAAAAAAGGCAGAACTGCTTGGTAAGAATGAAGGCAGCGGGAGAAGATAAAGACTGCATTACAGATGGATACACTCAAGGAAGCCACGGCCCTAAACTGTTAATGATAGGTGACTTGGAGGACTCTGGTTTGTGGGGTTGCCATAAGTAGCCATAACATTGCAATACTTAAAATAGCAAAAACGATTCAAACTTGCCTCATCTGTTGATGTTGAAATCTCACAATATTTCAGCTCTTTTATTCTACCAAAAGAAATATCAAATGTTAAAATATTTTCTTCATTCTTATTATTTTAAAATCTGCATTTGCTACAGATCAGCTTAGCATAAGGACACAAATCAAAGAGTAGTTGATGAGAAATGATATGCCAGGCTAACCTACCTGCAGAAACTGCAGGAGGCACTTTTCTAGCAGACTGAACCTAAGACAGTCCAGCCAAAACCAGATGGCAAATAGCTGGGTTCCAAATTTGCATATGGAGAGGTATTTAAATCAGCCTGTACTTGCCAGCTGTCTGTACATATTGAAATGTAGTGTTTCAAGGTTAGAAAATTAACCCCCCTTCAGAAAACAATAACTGCATCTTCTTAAGTGAATAATGCTTGTAAAAGTCCTCATGTACGTTTCTGAAATGCAGTATTAATTTTTTGGAAACAAGTTTGGGGAACAAGCAATGGAATTTGAAAAAGAGCATAAGAGTGCTGTAGCAAATCATGGGAATATGTGAAGTGTCCTTATACTGAAACAGATCATGGGCCCATATAGCCCAGCACGGTCAGCTTTGATCAGTAGCAACTGTTCTATGAGTTTCAGACGTGGTTCTTAGTAGAACCCCCTGGTCTCCCATCCAACAATTAACTAGAACTTATTGTGCTTCTGAAATCAGATGAAACTGGGTTTCTTCAGGCTAGCAAGGTGATACCATTTAAAAACATTAAACTTATTTCAATACTTACGTGATGCTCACCTGTTCAGATCAAGAAATGTTTCAGTCAGTAATTGCAGACCAGATCGATTTAATCATCTGGATACTATACTAAGAAGTATACTTAAATATGCTGTGACTTCTGTATGCCAACTAAATTGCCAGCTTGCAAATGATGGAAGTGTTTGCCCCACCTCAGACAACTCAAGTTCTTAACACAAAAATTAAATATCACCAACCTGAATACAGGTCTTCAAGACTAATTTCTGCTTTAAAAATGTGGACATGCTCTTTTTATAATACTCCTCAATTCATTCTTATCTTCCTTCTTTGTATCTTACTCTGTTACAAATTCGTAAGACAATTTTTTAATGTGTTAGAAGTGACTTGAGAACATACTGCAAGTCTCTTTTGGTGTCAGGGAATAGGCCATCTACAGAGATGTTGCTCAGAGAACGTCTGGATGTTTTACCATCCTGTGGGAGGCTTCTCTCATGTCCCTGCAAGCTAGAGCTGACAGATGGGAGTTCACCGCATCTCACAGATTCAAACCAGTTACTTTCAGGTCAGCAACCTAACCTTCAGGTCAGTAATCCAGCCGCCACAAGGGTTTAACCCATTGCACCACTGCGGCTCCCAATATTATCCTCTTACCCTGTAACTGCTATGTTTGCTCAGAAACTTTGGATAGGAACCATTTCTTTCACTGAATGACAATCTGCACAAATTATTTTACTTCTCTGCAGTCTCTCTATTCCCCTTCAGTAATTCTGGCATGTCTTTGTTTAGCAATGTTGCTGGGAAATCTCTAAACGTAGTTTTGTTTCTGAATGTGTTGTTTGCTTTTGTATTTGTTTCTGGAGAATTATAATCTCAAAATAAGAATTTTGATATATTTCTACTTTTAAACATTTTAAATAAGATTCTCAAATCACTCTTCCTTTTTACTATCCTTATCTCAACTTTCTTTTGTCTTGCTGCACTTTTTGCTACTTTTCATTTCTTTATTTGAAAATACTTCACAGTTTAAAAAAGACCTTAATCACGACCCTTAATCTCTTAGGATACAAAAACACCGAAAAAAGAATTTCATTTCCCTTCTGTTTATTACTTTGATAGAAATCCTGAAAAAGCTCTGGTTTTGAATATAAAATACATAAATATTTACAAATATCCACACAAATAAAAATGCATTGTTGCAATTGATTTTATAAAATTCGTTTCACAAGCAAATAGTATAGTTTAAAAGCATTTCAGAAACTATAAATGTGCAATTTGAGTGTCCTTAAAACCACAGAAAAACAATTGTACACTGAAGGATTCGAAGGTCAGAAAAATTTCTGACAGTAAACAGAAGTTGTATCACAAAATGTATTTTTGCCTAGCAATTAAAAAGAATAAGACTCAAAATTGCTGTCTGTGATAACTAATTAAGCTATTCATATCAAAAGTTCTATAAAATCCCTGCAATAAGGTCACTGCTATGCCTCTGTTCTAGAAAATGCTAACAACTAATTCCCTCACTGTGTTGTAACTTGCACAACTTTGCTGTTTACATACCCAGTGTCACTATGGGAGAGGGAGCACCAGACATTGCCTGAAACGTATATAATTTAAGGTGGTTCTGGATTCTATAAGGTGACACCAAGGATCCAAAATGTCAGTTACTGGAATAAATAAGAAGAGTGTTGCTGAATATTGATAAGAAGGGAAGATGGCAGAGCTTGTGAGGAGTAAGTGCAAGCATTTTGAAGACTCTCAGAATGAAGAGTATGGAAGGAAGAAGGGTACTGAGGAAAAACTGTGAAATCATCTAAACACACAATGTTATCTGATGGGAGTCAATTCAAATAAAACCTGACTACTGACTTCAATAAGAATATAACCAGGAGCTTAATAGCTTCTGAAGAAACCACAGAAGACGTCGTCACTTTGACACTGGCTAAAGAACAATTGGTTATCACTGGGTAAACAACAATGTCAATCTGTTGTATAGTTAACATCTGTTGAATAGTTATCATTTCTTCAAATACTTCTGCACAATTTAATTAATTTGACAGGATATTGCATATTTGAATTCTATTTCTCACAAAAATGAGATAGAAAGTTTCTATTTTTTAAAAAAAGATGGTTATGTTCCATCTGGTCCGCGAGATGTATTTGAAAGACGGCCTCTACTATTTCTAAGACAAGACAGCTAGTATACAATCATTCCCCAATACTTTACTTATATTTTCCAGCAATACATAATCCCTGAGAATATCCCAGAACTGTATAGCTAGGGTCTTTTAGATAAATATTAGTTTCCAACTCAAGTCCTGAAAGTATGTTATAAATGATGAAAGAAACAAAACAGCATTTAAAATTGATAACTTGAAAGAGTTCCTTCTCCCTGAGCTTCCTGCATGATTGAAAACACAAGAGCACTGAAGTATTCATAGCTGTACGCACAGGCACAGCATTTCTTTTTCCTCTTGGATTTAAGTCACATGCTACTTTACTGTGCAGATCAAACAGGAAAGCATTTCTTTGATTTCTTCCAATAAAATGGCTTTCTCCAGGCTTTCCTTCAGATTAAGGATGCTTCTTCATTCAGACTGCTTTAATTGATATTTAAGAGTCCCTTTAAAATGTGGAATCTCTGCAAATCAGACCGTAGTGAAGCACAAGTAAACCATCCTAGGGGGGAAAAGGGAAATTATATTTACAAACAATTCACCTGAGTATGAAGCTTATTTGTAGTTTCCCCAATTAGCACAATCCATGTTAGTGGTGGTGGTAAAATACCTGAACAAACTAATATGTTGTATTGTTTCAATTATTTACTTATTTTGTAAAATGCAATAACACGTTTAAGAAGAAACTGTATCAAAATGTACAACCAGCATCTCCCTTTGCTAATCACATGAAATACTAATAGTAGATAGTGATACACAATCGTAAATGCCTATTAAGGGCTCTTCCACACAACTGTATAACCTGGAATATCAAGGCAGAAAAGCCCACAATATCTGCTTTGAACTGGGATATCTCAGTGCACACTGCCATATATCCCAGTTAAAAGCAGATAATGTGGGGTTTTATTTAGCTGTGTGGAAAGGGCCGTATTTGTACCATAAAAACCTTGGATTTTTACTGATTTGCACTATATATTCAGTGCAGCTTTTTTTCAGGCAAATACTGAAATAGATCAAGACTGATGCAGTTTTGGAAAACGGGAAAATGTCAATTCCTTTCTGAAGAACAAACTTCCGCTTTAACTCCCAGGACAAAAAGAAAGGTATCTTTTTCTGAAACAAAATGCTTGAGTTAAATGAAACAAAGAATGTTGGCAACAGCTAAATGCCGCATCTCTTAACAGATCTGACAGGTTCAGAAGCCCGAGGCAGTGAAGTGGGCAGCTGAGTGTCAAGAAGCATTCCAGTCACCGGAACAGGCTCTTATGTCAGACCCAGTGCTGATGATGCTTGACTTTGACAAGCCATTCATTGTGGTCACAGCTAACAGAAGCACTGCTGCTTGCATTTGTTATGCTCCTCAGCAAAAAGCTACTATTATGAGGGAGACCAATTGATCCATACCAGGGAAGGAATGCTACATCATCGTGTATGTGCCATCACAAGTTGAGACCATCTGTATGTCTGGGAATGCTACTTCACTCTCCAGAATTATCATGCTGTCCTTCAATGGCTCCACAGTGTCCAAGAAACTAACAAGAAATTTCTCTGGCAGAGCTTATCCCTCCCAAACTTTGATTTTGATATTCATCATTTATCTGTATGTCCCAACACCAAGGCAGAGAACTTATCATACAGAGGACTGATGGGAAGATATGGAAATATATTTCCTACATGTTTGCTAATTAACTATATTGCTAACCTGTAGTACTGTTCTGTTGCATGTATGTTTTAACTCTTTTCTTTCCTAGATTAAAGGATGAAATCACAGTCAGTGTTGTTCCAGCCTCCAGCTTTTCCCAGCCCAGCTGAGATTTGGGGTCTCCCATTATCTGCGCATCACGCTGAGGGGTACAGTCTCCCCATCAGGTGAACCAAGTGTTAATGATGTGTTGGTTTTAAGTTGCATTAACTGGGTCAGCATCACATAAGAGCAAAAGAGATCACGAATGATAGCTGCCCAATGAGGATGACCAGTTCGGTGTAAGTTGGAAAGCTTTGAGATGCTTCCAAGAAAGAGATTATAAATCTTGCAGGTGCCTCGAGGCACACAGAGAGGAGCAAAAAGGCTGAGACTTTGGGACTGAGGCTAAGTATTTCACCTTGGGAGGTTGGTCACAGACTAGGCCAAGGGGACCCAGGCCCCTTCTACACTGCCATGTAATTCAGATTATCAAAGCAGATAATCCATATTATCTGCTTTGAACTGGATTATGATAGTCTACATTGCCATATAATCTGGTTCAAAGAGGATAATCTGGATTTTTATAGCAGTTTAGAAGGGGACCCAGACTCCCCGCTTTTTCCATAAACATCCAAGACCCAGATGCCATCTGTTTAGTGAATCCCTATAATGGGGGAAAGTAAAGATAAAAACAATATATGCAAACAAATAGAAATGCAATAAAGCTGGGTGTAGGAGAACAGGAAACTATCCAGTAGCTCCTAGGTAAATAGTACTTTCGCAATGCAAAGTACACAATCAGCACTGTCAATTCTGATGTGAGATTCATCAATTCCTCACCCTTGTCTTAGCATGTAGTTAGGGCAGTTAAACCAGATGGTGTGAATTGTTTGCTCAACTCAGCTGATTCTACAATGCAGTAGCACATTTTCAAAGTGCTGTATGCAAGAATGCCTGAAATAGGACACATTTGACATAACTCCCCCTCAATTTACTATACCTGTGAATTAAAACACTTACACGATCTGACTGAAACAAACAGCTTTTACTGAAAGCAATCAAGCATAAACATGTGAAATCCTGATATAAATGTTACTTCTTAACAATTTATTTTTAAAGTAAGATGCTCTTAGAGGTAATTTATGCATTAAAGAAATCATAAGGTTGAATCGGAAATATATGCTATGCTGGGTAGTAGTAGGCTGAGGGAAGGATAATAGTGCTGTTATACAAGTAGAACTTGATCCGTGCTACCACTTAACACATATAGCGAGAATAATCTGGGGAAAAGGACATACATGAAGGGAAGGGGAGAAAGCTGTGGATGTATGTTCATGCAACTCTTGCCACATGACTCTTGGCGACAAAAAAGATTGCCTACTCTAAGCCAAATGACAGAAGACCTTTTTAAATCTCCTTGTCCCTCTTAACTTTACTACTAACTTACCTGGACTGCACTCTCTCCTAGAGCTTGTTGGATTTCCCTTAGAGTCTGGTAGTTTTCTAACAGGTGATCACCACATATTATGTCTACCTAGAAATAAAATTTCAGAATGCATAAAAAGGCCATTCTCTTCATATGTAAGAAACTGGAATTTTTAGATTCTCCCTTTCTAAAATTGTTCATATCCTTAAAACTGCTCTTTAAAATAAAATAAAAAAAACAATTTGTGCATTTGGAAAAAGACCTCTTCAAAACAGAAATGTGTACCCAGTTAGCAAGAATTAGCAAGACCTGGTGAACCTACTTTTTATCCTAATAAGTCAACCCAAGCTCTATTTATTCCTTATCCTCATTGTGCATTTATTGGAAATGAGATACTATATTCGGCTTAATCATAATCATATTACTAGAAGACACTTTAAAACAACGCTGTTCCCAATTATTTCCCTGAAGACCATTTTCAAACAGTATGTGTTTTTAGACAGGCAGCTCACAAAGTAACACTTCTATAAATTGATTCAGCACATCTAAAGTAGTGAATTCTGTTGTCTTTGCCAATCCTTTTCTCCACTGATTCTCATTATAGAAACATAAAACAAAGAAGGGAGGAGGAGGGAAAGAAAAAAAGAAAGAAAGAAAAAAAGAAAGAGGGAATGTAGCAGCACTTTCCAGTGTAAAGTAAGGAAAGAGATTTGTCACATTGCTTTGCAGGCTGGTGACTGGAATTAACCCTTTTATAGATGGCCCCTTCATCACTAGCTGATGAAAATGGCCTTTGAAAATGATCAGGCTCTACCTCGGCCATCAGCTAGGACCCTGCTCTGCACTTTATCCACTTCCCCGTCCCCAAGTTACTTTGTTGCACTAGCCCTGGCCCAGCCCTCTTATAGCTGTCCAGGCTCATTGGTAAGTTTGAATCCTGATGGAATAATACTGAAAATGTATGAGGTTGTTTTAATAGTATTATGTTTATGTTTTTATAATGGTTATTTTGTATGATTTTGTGTTGGTAACTGAATGCTTTGCCCTATACTGGAAACCACCCTGAGTCACCTCGGGGAGATAGAGCGGTATACAAATCAAGTTTTATTATTATTATATTATTTAATGTAAATAAAAGAGCCAATGGCTCTTGATCTCATGGCAATTTAGCTTTTTGTTATTTGACTATGTAAATTTTGATGTAACAAACTTAGCTTTTCCAAATTTGGCCTTCTGAAAAGCATCACATGAATAACATAATTTCTTGCTATTACAAAAAGGATTTTAGCACACGGTGTGGGTAAAGTATGACAGAGTTATCCCATCCCACTGCATACCTGACAGCCAGGATCAAGATCCATCTTTCTGCAGAGGAATTTCTTTACATGGCCAACTGTTGCATCTCCTGAAACACGTATAAACTTCTTTTCGAGGGGCTGCAAGAAGGAGGCAGCAAAACTCAAGCTCAATATTACAAGAAATTCTAATCAAGATCTATTGCACAGTCTATTCCAAGTCCACACATTATTATGACTGAAATCAGTAAGTCTAACTGAACACTTAATTATTTGTTTTTGACAAACTCAAGAATGAAATCAAATGGTTAATGGGTTGTGCCATTATTGTTAATTCTCTTAATTAATGAACATCACTTTGTTCTTTTGTAGTGTTATTGCCATCAATGTGCATTGTGCATACACCAATTTTGTTTATGTCAGGAGCGCCTTGAGAACCTGCAAGTTGCTTTTGGTGTGAGACAATTGGCTATCTACAAAGGCGTTGCTCAGGGGATGCCCAGATGTTTTACCATCCTGTGGGAGGCTTTGCTCATATCCCTGTATGGGAAGCTGAAGCTGATAGACGGGAGCTCACCCTGCTCCTCGGATTCAAACCCCCAAGCTTTCGTCAGCATTCCTGTTGGCGCAAGAGTTTAACCCAATTACGCCGCCGGGGGCTCCTTACACCAAAATACAAGAGGGAAAATTCCTGCCCTGCGATGCTTACAACCTTAAATGGGCAGCACATGCAACACTAAAAGGAAAAGTAAGAAAATTACAGATGGATCCTGAGTAGGCTTCTGCAAGATCACAGAGAGATTTGAAAGGTACAACAAACAGCTTTGTGTTGAATCTGAGAACAGATAGAAAACTAGCATAGGAATATAGGCTGCAACATAATCAAAGCAATGTGACAGGTGAATTATATTGGAATCGGAATGCTAAAAGGAGGTAAGGGGATAAAGATAGGGAATGAAAGACTAAAGAGCTGTGGTCCTAGCAGTACGCCATTTTAAACTACCAGAGACAATAGAATACCTGTGGCCATTCCTTTTATCATTTCTAGTTTGTTTTTAGGGCATAATTTAGTGTTAATGTAATGCAAAGTGAGCAGATTTTTTGAAAATCTAAGTATCTGTTCAAAAGTATACATTATATTTCTGTACAAGCAGCTAAGGAAGGCATTGTAGCATCCTCCATATATCACTGAATTTCATTCTAAATGTCTCTCACTTTTTCCTAGTTAGGATTAATGGCAGCTGTAGTCCAAATTATATGCAGCAGATTTTTTTCAGGACTGGGGAGGCAAACAAAGATGGGATTTGCAACCAGACCATATTAAAGGATCAGACCCAAAAGTGATACCAATTATACCTGAGTTCCTAAGACTGTGATTCTAATCTCTGTTTCACATTGGATTCCACAAGCATTCATATACATTTCCAAACTTGCTTTCAAACTTTAAAAACAATCTTATTTTTAATTGTGCTTGTGAGACTTTGTGGGCAATTTAATAAGTGGACAATTTACACATAACTAGACAAACACTGGTTATTCAGTACTAACAATTCCCACTGTGCTTCATTGCTTGGTCATGCAGACTAAAATATTACATCCCTGTTTTTAAAAACCTTTCCTGCTCTCCAGTAAACAATAGATTTACAAACAGAGTTTACTTCAGGACAGAATCACTTTTTCTAACAATGCAACATTTAATTATGATTTTTATCAAAATGAAATACAGGAAGATAAAAGTTTTATAACATATTTACCTTAAAGGTCCCAGAGAGATCATTACCTCTGAAAGAGAAATGAATAGATGCAATCAATATGTCTTACATTGCATTTGTATTTGCATCTCTTAGCTACTAAATCAACAAAATGCCAGTATATATCACCTACTATAAATGTCCCTTTGGGGAGATCCACGAGAGGCTGTATTCTAGTTACTACTCAGAAAAGGCAAGGTCATTTGATGTTATGTTTAAGATAGAAAATGCTCTTTGCCTCCACCTCTACTTTGAGCACAGCGACCATCTTTTGAGGAATTATTCTAGTTGGAAATAGGAAGATAGCGTGGAACAGAAAGGGAGAGAAGTAGATGCAAGGGACCCCCACCCAATACATGTAAAAACAAATGCAATAATGCCCAAAGGTGTGAAAATGTATGCAGGATTCCAATCGTCCTCCTCAAGGGTGGAGTCTCATCTGGGTCTCCCTAAAAGGAAGCCTTGTAAGTACCAATGTATCTTTCCCTGGAATATCAAGATTAAGGATGGATCCATGGCTAATGTCTTATTGAGTGGAAGCAACTGACTTCAGAATCCAACTGCCAAATTCCACAATTGTGAACAGGTTCACGTGGTAGCATTGATAAAGACACTGAATTTATTCCACCTAAACATTAGGAAGAACTTCCTGATGGTAACAGCTGCCTCAGAGTGTGATGGAGCCTCCTTCTCTGGAGATTTTTAAACAGATCAGAATGGCAATCTGTTGCAAGTGCTGTATTCTTTCATGACAGGAGGTTGGACTGGACTGCATTCCTGTATGACAGGAGGTCGGACTGGATCTCTTCCAAGTCTATAATTCTAAGGGGCTAAGAGGAAGAAGGCTCACAGGTGGTTTGCATTTTGGCAATCTATTGGAAGGGAGGGTTTGTGGAGTCACAAAGACTGTACACACCAAGGATGTGGAGCCCCAGGTGGCATAATGGGTTAAACCTTGTCCCGGCAGGACTGCTGATCGAAAGGTTAGCAGTTCGAATCCAAGCAGCGGGGTGAGCTCCCATCTGTCAGCTCCAGCTTCCCATATAGGGACATGAGAGAAGCCTCCCACAGGATGGCAACACATCCGGGTGTCCCCTGGGCAAGGTTTCTGAAGATGGCCAATTGTCTCACACCAGAAGCGACTTGCAGTTTCTCAAGTCGCTTCTGACACAAAAAAAAGGATGCATCTTCTTTGGTTACTTGTTTCTGCTTTGCTGAACCTTTCTGCAACACTGCTACATGACAAAGCTAGACTGTGGACAATGATATCTAAGTCAGACTTTGCATCTTGAGGGGCTCAATGTGAATAATTAAGACTTCACTTTGCCCATCAATTGTGGGCAATGCTGTGATGGTAGTCTCAGACCCAACGAACTTGATGGTAAGGGAGTGCAAAGCTGTAGCTGCAATGAAGAAGGTGAACTGTTGGGCTTCAATTTTGCTACTTTGAGTGAGATTTTTGCTTTCACAGAATTCTCACTTTTTTCCTTAACGTGCACCCTTGGGGGAAAAGAAAAATGAAAAAGGAGAAAAAAGACAGACATTTCTAATTTTTTTTTACTGGTGAAAAAAGTAGGATGCTGAAGTGAAGAAGGTAGAAAGAGCAAGAGGAATTTGGTAGGAAAGGTCTGTAAGAGCTAATGCTCAGAGAAAGTTCTCATAGATGAGGCAAAGAAGAAATTGCAGGCTGCGTCAAATAATAAATTCCTTTACTCATATAATGTAATGTGTCCTAGCCTCTCCTGGGTTGCATAATACCCCACCCCCCATGCCCCAAGAAGGATCTGCCACGGAAGGGACAAGTTCGCCTTGTAAAGATGTAGAAGGCAATTAATTACCACCATCTTCATGCCATCTGATTTCAACATAATTTAAAAAAACACATTATTTAGCTTATCACACCATTTCAACACTGCTTCAAAATCCTACTGTCTCAGTTGAAAGCAAATAATGTAGCATGGTGTCATTATTATATTCATATTATCTTTCAAGATTTGGATCAAAAACTTCATGCAAATCACGTATTTATTGTACATTTTAAATTAGTGTATGTTGAATAAGTGTTATTAAAAAGTGGACCAACTTAGATGTACATATTTTGGCTCCTTAAACAGTTACACAAAAATCTTATGTGTTATACTTCATTTTCTTACCATACTTTCCCTCCTGGTAAAATACCATTAACCCAAAATGCTTTCAATTAAATAAAATGTCACAATATTTATGAATCAGAAAGCTGTGGGTAACAGGATCAAAACAAGCCAAGGTCTTTAAAGTGATTTAAGATCAATTTAAAGACCTTGGCTTGTTTTGATCCTGTTAATTTATTTCTGATCCCTGTAGCTTCTTAATACAGAGGGAAAGGAAACTATGATAAACTGGGATTAATCCTACTTGGATTAATCCTATGGCTGATGCGAGGATAGAATATTCAGACAGAAAGCTTGTACATATCTCTGCTTTTCGATCTGAGATATGTCCAAACCAGACCAGTGTATTCCAATTGTACATGGAAATATCTCTTAAATATGTAAGCAGCAGCTTTTGCATTGACACAGGAACGAACAACATCATTATAGTGTTAATATAATCTGACAACATTAGCTTTGGTTTGCAACATTCTATATTAGGAAAAAACAGTCAGTTTGATTTTAGCAGAGCTACACATGTAGTTTAAAGCCTTGCAGACCTGAATTGCTATATTTAGCTCCCAAAAGTCTCTGAAAGGCAGACTGCATACGTGCAAGACTGAGAGTCGAGTGGAACAATAATAAATGCAATCAACTTTAAAATTGTATTTCAGAACATTAGCTTCCTTTTTCCTGATAAAGAGACCCAAATGTACAGACAAGAATTTTATCTTTCAAAACGTTTTAGCTCTATTGCTTTATTTATATACACATGTAAAAGATGGACAAAAAGGTTATTTTCTCAGACAATTCTACTTTCTATTCCCAAATTAGTTACTCTTATGTCTTTTCAGTACCAGATAGATACGTTTTATTGATTGGCCTATTGGCCGTATCAAAACATTTATTTATTTATTATTTATTTATTTACTTTGCTTATATACCGCTGTATCTCAAGCCCGAAGGCGACTCACAGCGGTTCACAAACAGTAAAAACAGTAGAAACAGCAGTGGTTCCATACAACATATAACAATTGACTTAACACATTATCCATAAATTACCAATAAGCAATTACAATGCACAATTATTACAAAAAACAACCGTACCCAATTTTCTCATCATCCAAGCGTAGTCCAGGTTCGTCGTCCATTGTTCCATTCCTATGTTCCATTACCAGATTGCACTAAATTACTCAAACGCCTGCACAAACATCCAGGTCTTCACCTTTTTGCGGAATACCATTAGAGATGGTGCTAGTCTAATGTCCGTAGGAAGGGCGTTCCACAGCCGAGGAGCCACCACCGAGAAGGCCCTATCTCTCGTCCCCGCCAGCCGAGCTTGAGAAGCAGGCGGGATCGAGAGCAGGGTCTCCCCGGAAGATCTCAAACTCCTGTGGGTTCATAGGCAGAGATGCGGTCAGATAGGTAGCTTGGGCCGGAACCGTTTAGGGCTTTAAAGGCCAACGCCAGCACTTTGAATTCAGCCCGGTAGCAGATCGGTAGCCAGTGGAGTTGGCGCAACAGGGGGGTTGTATGCTCCCTGCGCTCCGCTCCTGTTAAAATCATGGCTGCCGAGCGTTGGACTAGTTGGAGCTTCCGAGCTGTCTTCAAAGGCAACCCCACGTAGAGAGCGTTGCAGTAGTCTAAACGGGATGTAACCAGAGCGTGGACTACCGTGGCCAAGTCAGACTTCCCAAGGTACGGGCGCAGCTGGCGCACAAGCTTAACACATAACACAATTAACACATAGTCATACATAGTCATACATACAACATACAACCCTCGGTATAAAAGGAGTTAAAATAAACAAGCTGTTAACAAGATCTCGTTCAGGTCAAATGTCTGCGTCACCTCCACAGTTTACCCCAATTGATTCTAAATGTGCAATTCTCAGCTGTGTTGCTTTGAATAGAAAAAGGGCTGTTTTGTGTGTTATTTTAGGGTTCTGGCCGGCCAACAAAAATGAGGTTTTAATATATGGGTCCCAGTGTGTTTTTTGAATAATGTATGGTCCAAGGCAATGGTCTCTCTCTTTCTTATACAGCTCACAGTTGAACAATACATGTGTGATATCCTCCACCTCTGGTGCTCCACAAATACAAAATCGTTCGTTGTATGGGACTTGATTAAACCTTCCGTGCTTGTCCATTGTATCCAGCTGTTCAAAACGAGCTCTGGTAAATACCCTCCTAAGGTGTTTAGGCATTTCTGTTTTTAGATATCGAGCTATTTGGAAGGTATGTTTAAATCGGCCTAACCATTTCAGTGAGCCAGCTTTACTGAGGGTAGCGATGTCTTTTTGGCCTTCTATATCCAATACTCGTTGAGCAACTATTTTTGGGTCTAACTCTTCTAAGAGATTCGGATACCGAGTCGGAAGTCCACAGCTCCTAATGTATTTTGTCAGGAGAACTAACCAAGAGGTCTGATGTTGATTTTCTATCTGCTCTAACAGGCACAGTTTTGGGAGTCTATCATTTTCCATGGCTATCAGTTTTGCCCAGTAGTTGTAGGCCCTGATTTTGGATAAGCCATCCACTGTGTGTACTCCCAGTTCCGCTCTTACTGCGGCAGCTGGGGTCGTCCTGTCCACTCCTAGGAAACTTCGCAGGTGCTGTGATTGTAATTGCTCCAATAATGGTACCTGGTTTAGACCCCAAACTTCAGCTCCGTACAAGAGCATGGGAGTAACCTTTGCTTTATATACTTTGAGAAGTGGGTCTAAGGATCCTGGTTGGTTGTGATTTGTCAGTTTAAGTAGTTGATTTGCACATACTCTTGCCCTAACTGAGCTTTTTTGATGGTGTGGTAGCCAAGAGCCGGTCTCAGAAAAAACAATTCCCAGATATGTGAAAGTGCAAACTTGCTCTATTGGTTCATCACCCAGGAACCATCTGTGTCTGTTACGTCGTTGCCAAATACCATTGTTTTTTACTTTGGTTTATTAATAATTAGAGCGTTGTTATGACAATAGGAATTAAACCTTCTCAGCAGTCTACGTAGCCCAACTTGCGAATATGATAGTAAAATCATATCGTCGGCATATAGAAGGATGTTGAAATGTGTATTGCACAGCTTAGGCATGTGTACCTCTGGGTCCTTCAGCTGTTCGGGGAGATCATTTACGTATAAGCTGAATAACAGCGGTGCTAATATACACCCTTGTCTGACCCCTTTGTATGATTCTATACTGTTTGTCATGGCTCCTTGCATCCCAAGTCGCACTTTCAGGTAGGTGCTTGTGTAAAGTGCCTTAATTAGTGCCAGCAGTCTGGTTTCAGTACCACTGGAAAGACTTAACTGCTAAAAGATATAATTTATTCCTACAGAAATATTATAAATGACTTTAAATATATTTTAAAAAGATAAGCATGGAATTCCTTAGACTTATACAAAGGTAACAAAAGTATAAATTATCTTTTTTCTGTTGAAAACACAATGGTTTGAATCCATACACATATAAAGTAGATACATTAGACACACACACACAGTCTTACAGAATATTTAAAAAATCAAGTTAGCTATGACTAAATTAATTCATTTTTATTTCAAATAAGACAAACACTGGATTCAGTTTAGCAGCTTTTGTTTCATTATTTTGTTAGCTTTTTACCAAATGGATTCAAGCACCATGGGATAATTAGTATGAAGGGAAAGATGAATACCTTCATCAGAATAAAATCACTGATTTTTTTTTCTGAAAAAGGCAGATGAGTACATCTCACAATAACCTGTCTGACTGACAGGTTAGTTTTTTTAAAAAAGGAAAAAAAGAACACAAAGTTGATTTTGTAACTTTTTTTCTATATAATTCTTGGGCCAGCCATATGAAACTATAATACCACAAGATACAAAGTAAGCAAATGTTAAAGGAATTACATGCCTGCCTATTCCAGCATTTTTTATATACCACTAATACTCTTTTAGAGTATCAAATGTTTAAAACAAAGATTTTCAAAATGGGAGCAGTTTTATAATTTGGTGGATACATGCCTTCATGTGGTCTGTCAGCTTAAGGCCGTCATAGCCCATACCCTGTAGTTGGAAGATTCAGACACAGAGAAGGAGGCAAATTCTTAGGAATCTATGCCTCATGATGACAATAGTCTCTCTAAGTCCAATGAGCTAATGGCTGAAGCACAGGGCAGCCTAACCCCAACAGGAGGTTGCAGACACTGACCAGCAAAAAAGCAATGAGAGATTGCAATAGTTCCAGTGGCTGTTAACTGACTAACTGGACACCTGGTGTCTTGAGACAGAAGCCTATAAATCCCTGGCTGTTTTGTTATTCTCAGCCATCCTGTCTTGGTGACTGGCAATATTCTTGGGACTGCCTATGATGTATGACTATTGCTTCTTGCTGGCTTTGTTTCTTTGGACTATTAATTTGCTTCACGACTTCTGGGCCTGCTGATGACCACTCTCTTGATTCTCCCTTTATCCTACTGGAATATAGCTTATAGTACCCAGTGTTTGTTTGTGGTTCCTATCCATGTATTGATCAAGACTGACCCTGCTTGGCTTACAAGGTCAGATGGGATTTGTGCTTTTAGGGTATTTAGCTAACTTCTTCCATCTCATCTAAAATAATGTTTTCAATGGTTTAATATTGGTTTGTTAAGATTATAAAAAATACAACACAATTATATTTTACTTAGTTCGCAGTTAGTTTCATTTTGAAAATTCACATATTCAGACATTATACCACACTGCTATTCTAAAATTACTAGCTGTCACTGCCCCCTAGTGGTTCAAAATGCAGGTTATATAAAAAAAATCTTGACATCACATTAGTTAAGACTCTGATCACTTTCTCTTCTTATGTTAAATAATGGTATGGACCCCAAGCATGTTAACTTAGTCTGCAATCTGGTGCATATTTTGCTGGAAGTAATCACACCGACCACAGTGAAAATCATTTCTCCGTAAGCTCCTTTTGAAGTGTAGCATATTATAATATGAATGTGGTTTTATAAAAATAGCAATGTTGGGTTGCTGGATTTCCAACAGACCTCTGAAGATGCCTGCCATAGATGCAGGTGAAATGTCAGGAGAGACTACTACTGGAACATGGCCATACATGGCCAAAGATTTACAGCAACCTAGTGATTCCAGCCATGAAAGCCTTCGACAACACAATAGTAATGTTATTTGTTGACAAAATTTTCAGAGAAAAGAAAAGAGATCAGAAATACAAGAAAAATCTATCTTTGGTTAAGGAAGCAGTTAAAGAGAGGTATGGTTTTTATACATTGGGATTTCCTCATCTATAATTATTATGTACCCAAAGACCACTTTTTGGTACTGTCCTTTTCTCTTCTAGCCAATTTTCAAATGTTACAGTTTGGAAAAATGGCGGGGGGGGGGGGGGGGGGGGATTTATGTTTTACTTACCCAATGAATTCTAGGAGTAGTGATGTGTCAAGTTCTGGGGGAATTCGGAACACTGACCCCAGAACTTTGCGGGGTCTTCCTCTGCCTGCAGCAATTGGTAGTGGTACTGCTAAAGTAGAAAAGGATGAAACTATAAAATAGCAAAGCAGCACGGTAGAATTTTCCATCTACAATAGAATAAACCCTTAAATCACAAGCTGAATAAACTTTTTTTATAGTTCAGTAATGCTTAGATGCACTCTTACGAATTCAAAAGGGCCAAAATCATTAGAACTGTTGTCAAAGAATATCTAGGAGTGAGCATATTACACCTATCCTAAAGTCACTCCACTGCCTGCCAATTAGTTTCTGGGCAAAGTACAAGGTCTTAGTCTTGTCCTTTAAAGCCCTAGATAGTTTGGGTCCAGGTTGCCTACAGGGTCACCTTCTCTCATACAATCGGCCCCCAACGCTTAGGTCCTCTGGAGGGCATGTACTCCAGACTGTGGAATGACCTGCTGAAAGAGCTCTGACAGCTAGATAAGCTGTTGGAAATTAAAAACCATCTAAAAACCTCTATCTTCTGACAGGCCTACCCAGCCAGTAGAAAGCATGCCTTTTACACTTATGTCCTGTGTTTTGGTCTCTGTCCTGTGAGATTAATGTGCATTTTATAGAAATGCTATAAAATGTATGTATCTTTTATGAAACGATGTGTGAAATGTAATAGTATTTGTTGTATTTACTGTGCTGTGACCTGCCTCAAGCCATGGGGGAGAGGTAGGTAAGAAATGAAAAGTTGTTGTTGTTGTTGCTGCTGTTATGTGTCTCATATTATGATAAATGTTAGAGCAAGCACTACACAAATCTTGGCACTTACAAATATTAATAATTACAAATCACGACTGGCTAGAAAGTCAAGCCATACTCTTGGGACTGATATTCACCACTGCCATGAGTTTGGGCAAGTTTTGGATATTATCATAAAGATGCAAGAAAGGGTAACAAGCAAGGGACAATATCTGATCTAATGATTTTAATTATAATGACATTTGGTCCTTAACGCTAGTATATGATCTTATTTATAAGTACAGACTAGAGCAGGGGTTCTCAAACCTTTTTAGTCATGGAGCACTTTTTGGAGCAAGTGTTTCTCGTGGAGCCCCAAGAAATGTATATATATTATATTATATATAATATATATATCAGGCATGAGCTGGGCCACTGGCAGAACGATGGAGATTGTTTGTGTGAACTAACTCACACAGCCAAAAAGTAAAATACAATATTTAAAATGAAGAACAATTTTAACCAATACAAACTTAACAGTATTTCATCAGAAACCCCGAGGCCATCCAGTCCAATCCCCTTCTCCCATGCAGGAAAATACAATCAAAGCACCCCCAACAGTTGTTTATCTGGCCTTTGTAACAACAGCAGCTGCACCAGCAGAAACCACAGATGCCATCCAGTCCAGCCCTCTTTTGTCATGCAAGAAAAACACAATCAAAGCATCCCTTTTCTACCAGGCAGGAAAAAACATGGTCTGGTCCCTCCCGACAGATGGCCAACGAACCTGTGTTAAAAATTTATATCATAGAATCCTAGAGTGGGAAGATACCCCAAGAGGTTATCCAGCACAACCACCTTCTGTCAGGATCCTGACTCTGCAGGGGGGCCTTGCGTACCCCTGGCCTTTAGGAAGTGCTGTCCCCCTCCCTGCCACCCATGCATCATACTCTTTGGTGTGGGGCCTTCTTCCCTTCGCCCTCCCAGCTCCGACTCACCAGCCCTTTGCCTCACATCTCATGTGGAAGAGGCCCTAATGCACATGTGGCTGATGGAGCAGCTCCATCAGAGGATGCTAGGCAAAGTGCAGAGGGTGGCCAGAGGTGCAGGGGCAGGAGGGCGAAGGGAGGTGCCCTGCCAGGAACTCTGTGATGTTGGGGGAAGGTGGCTTCTCTTTGGAGTCCAGCTGGGGGGAGGGAGAGTGCCTGGTACTGAGTGATGTGGTGTTACGGGGGCAGGGTTCTGGGAAGTGAGGAGAAGAGTAGCTCAAAGCCTCTCAGTGTGCCTTGAGAAGCCCCAAGAGCTCCGTGGAGCACACTCTGAGAACTGCTAGACTAGAGAATAAGATAACTGACTAAAGAAAGGATAAGGAAAATGGGAAAATGAAAGTGGAATCTAGCAGCACCTTTAGACTAACTGATCTATTTTAGCTTGAGATTTCATGGACATCAATGTACATGATGTCATAATATGCATCTTTCTGAATCCTATGCCACTCCATCCCAACTTCACAACTATGCTTCAAAAGTTATGGTTTAAATATCACTTTGTCGGAGTATATGAAGAAGTGAATTGACAAAACACAAACAAAATCCCATAATATAGTTCAACAAGCAATTATTCTCACAGCCAATCACCAACAGTTCTTGTAATGGCCACAGTAACTACCTTGTCCATCAAAGAATACATATCAGGATTGTACCCTGCTAGTAAACATCCCTAGGGCGCTGGACAAACCACAGTCAGAAAACACAACTACATCATTCATCAGTAGAAAACAGCCAAGATATTTATAAACTTACCAGGTTTTGGAATTTCTAGGCCTCTCTCTCTGTAGAAATCATGCATTTGCTTTTTCTCTCCTAAAATATGCATTGGATTATTTTTGTTTTGTTGAACAGTGTATAGAAACTTTAGTGATCTTTTTGATATTCATATTGACAATTGCAATCCCCAAAACCAGTAGGAGTTTTCATACATTTATACAGTTAAGTGATCATTAAAGACCATGAAACAAGAAAGCAAAGCTTGAAAATGGTAAAAGATATATGGAACCCTAGTTTGGAAATGACCAATGCATTTTAAGACCTAAGAAATATAACTTACTGTGACAATTCTGTATATCTATATTTCAAAAGTGAGCCTTGACTCCATTTCAAAAGTTGCCTCTCCTCTACAATCTTTTTCTGTTTCCTTGTGTTTTAATGCTGTCTCTTGGCTTGAAACACACAATTGTTTAACACCAGAAAGCCTAATTTGCAAAACATGCTTTTGACATGTATAAATTTTACTGGTTTTATTGCACAGGTGTTGATTATGCTAGGCAAAACTGTGTGCAGACTGTAAGCACAAATAATAATATCTGTAAAAGAATTCAAAAAGAAAAAGGCCCAAAATTACTAATGAATAGGTCTTCAATCATTTTTAAGATGGGATGTGATTTGCCATTTGCAATGTTCCAACTGACTTGAAGAAAGGAAGCAATTAGGGATGCAAAAAACCAAGACTATGTGGACGATGGAAGCTGTGGCTACTAAATTGTTGGAAAGATCTGTCTGTCTGTCTATCTATCTTTAGATAGCATAGGGGTTAACGCCTGGTGTTTGTTTTGCTGTCTGCTCCCCGTTCAAAAAATTTCACTTCACTTTATGTCCCTGTGATAATTGGATTTTGAAAAAAATTGTTTTGTTGTGGAAACAAGGATTGGTGAAAAAGCTTCAGTTGAGACCCCTTTTCCGCATGCTATCTCATTCAGCAGTGAATTTCCCTTCCTAGAGGTCGATTTGTCTCACTTCCGTTCTTACCTATGAGTCATTTGTAAGTCGGATGTTTGTTAACTTGGGGACTGCCCATACTTACATGTTTAAATCAATGCTGTAAATTAATTTCAGTGGGAAAATGTTGACACCAGATAAAAGGGAGGTGAAAAAAATATATGAAAGTTTGGCAATTTATTTATTTGAGCACTTTTTGTGTTATTTGTTTATTATTTACTTTATTTCTATACCGCTTTTCTCAGCCCTCAGGTGACTCATAACAAGAATTACTTATAACAAGAATTCAAATGGAATTGTTTAGAAGTGCTGCAGTAAAACAATGTGAAGACTGTAGTGTCTCTTTAAGAAATGTATGTATAGTAACCTGGGAACAAGAGAGAAGGCTTTTTTTGATGGCTGCTCCTAGACTGTGGAACTCCCTCTCAAGAGAGACCAGGACCTTTTTGTGCAGCAGACCTTTGGGGGGAAATGCTTAGAACACACTGCTGAGGAGGTTGTGGGTGGGATTCTGGGGGAGATTGTGAGTTTTAAATGGAATCTGAATTGTATTTATTATATTTTAACTGTATTTGAACCTAAATCTATACAGCAGTAAACAGTGAGCACAAAACTAATACAATACTATTCATTAAAAATTGTATTAAAATTGTATCACAGTTTATATTTCACTTTAAAGTCCCCACAGGGAAAAAGGTGAGGTATAAATAAAATAAATTTACAAATGAGTCTGTTTTACTGCAGAAATTGATACTCACAGAAGACAGAGAGAATTCTAATAATAAAAATACAAAACTAGATGATTTGGAAATATTACTCACTATAAAAATACTTGACACTCCCTGTACTCTCTATTTAAGCCTGCTTTTATTTTTTATTCACACCAGCAAGATAAAAATGCAAGACTTACTTTTTTCCAAGTTGAGAACTAATTTATATACTATATCTTGCAACTGTCGATCCAGCCTATAGGAATAGATATGAAGATATTTATTAAATTTAAATATATTAGACACAAACACTTTAAATCTATAATTATAGAGCAGCACAAAAATTATTCTGTCCTTCACAGAGAATTTTTCAAGAGAGCTAAGAAATCAATGCAGCTACACTACAGAATTAATGCAGTTTGACATCAATTTAAATGCTCAATGATATGAAATCCCAGGAATTGTAGCTTGGTGAAGCACAGCAAGCACTTTTTTGTCAGAGAAGGCTAAAGACCTTGTAAAACTACAACTCCTCTGATTCCACATCACAGAGCCATGACAATTAAAGTGGTGTCAAATTGAATTAGATGCATAATGGAGATACATCACTAGGTAATAGCCCAATAGCCATAATTCACAAAAGCAAATTCACTATTATCTTTTAAACACTGTATTGGTATACTGAGTGAGAAACAGAAACAGACAACAAATGGAAAAAATTCAAGGAAAAGGCAGCTTTTGGGGATATGCAGATTTTCTTTCTTTTCTGAATAGTAAAGGAAATTAATAATTTTCTGCAGGCTGATAAAGTTTTTCTATGGGACAGCAAAACGTTTTCAATTATACTTTCCCCGCAAACAACACAACAAGCACAGTGTAGAACAAAAACCATTTAAGATTCTTACCTGATATTATAAAGAGGTTGCGTCTGATGTACAACAATGTTGCATTTTGGACATCTGTTACTGTAGTAAAAATGTCTAACTATGCAGCTTTTACAAACTGTAAAAAAACAAAGTTACAATTACATGTAACTAGTAATAAGTAACAATTACCACATATTTATTATTTCGTGTCAAAAGCATTGCATAAATAAATAAGGATAAAACTGATTTTAAAAAGGGAGCACATGCAGCTAAACAATTCTTCTGTGCCTGAGACAGGGAACTGTAGGCAAGTATACAGATGCTGAGTTGTTTGTTCTACTCGTATGATGCAGCACGTTACTAAGAGTTGGCTAAAATGCAGGTGACTTGCAAAATAAACAAAGTGAAAAGGCAATAGTTTTGCTAAAATACAGCATGATACCGCCTCGCCCCCCATATCCAGGAGACTGGTGTCTGTAGTTTATTTGTCTATGTCTGACAAAATATACCCTCTCAAGCACTTTCTAGATCCCCAGTGTAATTCTATGACATTCTTTGGGCCAGAAATCCTTTAATATGGCTTGGTATGATCTGGAGTTTTGCATATCCACATGAAGTCTGGGAATGTACCCCCCCGCAGATGTGGGTACTGTACTGGAGACATCTAGCCTGGTGGCTTACAAAGATGGGTGTAGCGATGCATACAATAATGTAATGAAATAAAGTTACCCTATCTTACTCCCCCAGCTGCTGCATCTGAGAAGTTTATACTTGGTATTCCTTTTCTGACAAGGCATGATATAAAATCTGCCAGCCTCCACATTCACTACAGTTAAGGGCCAAAACACGAGCAAAAATGGAAAAACCACATTTAAAAAATAAATAAATTACGTTTCTTAACCTTAGAGAACACCTTCTGTAGGAATCTCTAGATCCTCCAGTGTGTCTCTATGGTAAACTTCTGCCAATGGGTGACCACAGAATCACACTGGACTATCTAGGGATACCTAGAAGTGTTCTCTCTTGGAACTTCTAGGTTCTCCAGCATGACTCTATAGTCAACATCTGATGGAGGCGGACTATAAGAGTTGCAGTGGAGGGCTTAAGAGATTCCTAGAGAGAACATTTTAAATATAATTTGCAAAGGTCAAATGTGTAAACATAAAGGGCTGACTGGCAATTGAGCAATATCATAATTATGCACTTCAGGTACCAGCACCAAAACGTAAGTTCATGGATTTGGGGATGGAAAACATGCTCTAGGCTTGAATTGTCATGTGGCTGAAGTCAAGCACCAAAAGTTGGAAGTATGATAGTTATTTCATTATATGAGAGGCAGAACACTAAAGGAAGTTACAACAATCATATAATATCAGAGCTGAAAAAGGTTCAATTAGTCATCATGTTCAACCCCCTGTCAAATGCAGGAACTCCAGGTAAGTCTCCCCAACAGGTAGTTGTTCAGTTGAGATAATACATTTTAAGAAAAGGTGCTTCTCCAAAATTTAATCTCAGAACTGAAAAGAATGAAAAATGAAGGAGAAGAGGAAAGAACACAGGAAACTTCACTGAAAAACCAGATGGATTACTGCAGTTGTTCCAGCATTCCAGAACTAATATTTCTGTATATGAAAAACTAAGTTTCTTTTGAAGAAGAAATCAGTACCACTACATACATGTATGAAGGCACTCTGTGATGGTTGTGGCATCTATAAAGTACCCCTTGCAGATGGAACACATGATATATGGTGTCATTTCAGAGAGGTTTATCATGCGCTGTGAATGCAAATAAAAACATGTCAGAAAAAATTTAATTAAATTCACTGAAAGTATATCAAAAGATTAACATACTCCATATGTGCAAATTTAACATTTTCATCTTATTAAGCTCTCTCTTCAACAACAGGATTTCAAACCCACTTTGGAAAGAAAGGGTGTAAAGATGTAAGAGTAGTGTGATTCCTGGCTGCCTCAATAAGCAAGTGCAAGAGAAGGCTCAGTCATTTCACGGGTCAAGGAACCTGTGTAGTTTAAGAGAAATATTGTTCACACTGAGTTCTTTCACCTCATGTGATGAAAAATATTGTTCTGAAGAGAGACACCTTATTTGCTGGGACCGAACTGAGAAATCTATACAATTAGACAATGCCCATTATCGACAATTGTCATCTTGGAAGCTATAGAGAACTTCAAACAGACAAGACTCAAAATGCTGATTTTTATGCTACTATTGCTACAGAGGGTCCTCAATATCCACTGGGGTTTGGTTCCAGGGCTCGCTATGGATACAAAAATCTGTGAATGCTGAAGTCCCGCTATATACAAAGGCATAATAAAATTGACTCCCTTATTAAAAACTGCCAAATCAAGGTCTGCTTTTTAGAATTTCAGTCTCTGTTAGGCACAGATTAAAGATATCTGTTTGTATCTTGCTTTATTTCAATATACTGTGCACCACTTTGACAACCATGTAACTGAATGCTAGTATATAAATATATTTAAATACACAAGATTTGTTCTGCCTGGGACGTTCAAGATACATGTGGCATTACAAAGAAATATAGCAAAAGGGGAAACTAAATCATTACATTTTTAAACCACAACACCCATTCCCCAAGGAAGTCAAAGCAGTATTTTAAACTTGCCATAAAGGGTATTGAGAGAAAGCCAAATCTGAGCAAGGACGAAAACATAAAATCATTAAATTCAAATTCAAAAATTCTCTAACCATTATTATTATTATTATTATTATTGGGTTTTTGTGAAAGGTCTAAAAAAGTTATGATCTCCAAAAGATGTTTTTCCAAAACGTTATACAGTAAATGCCATTTTCCAAAAGGTTATGAATACCACTTTCTGTAGCTCAATGCTACAGAATCATGAGTTGTAGTTTCGCAAGGTCTTTAACCTTCTCTGCCTACAGAGTGCTTCCAAAAGGTGTTTTTCCAAAATGTTATACAGTAAATGCCATTTTCCAAAAGGTTATGAATACCATTTTCATGGCTCAATGCTACAAAATCATGAGTTGTAGTTTCACAAGGTCTTTAACCTTCTCTGCCTACAGAGTGCTTCCAGAAGGTGTTTTTCCAAAATGTTATACAGTAAATGCCGTTTTCCAAAAGGTTATGAATGCCACTTTCTTGGCTCAATGCTACAGAATCACGAGAGTTGTAGTTTCGCAAGGTCTTTAACCTTCTCTGCTTACAGAGTGCTTCCAAAAGGTGTTTTTCCAAAATGTTATACAGTAAATGCCATTTTCCAAAAGATTATGAATACCATTTTCAAGGCTCAATGCTACAAAATCATGAGTTGTAGTTTCGCAAGGTCTTTAACCTTCTCTGCCTACAGAGTGCTTCCAAAAGGTGTTTTTCCAAAATGTTATACAGTAAATGCCATTTCCCAAAAGGTGATGAATACCATTTTCACGGCTCAATGCTACAGAATCATGAGAGTTGTAGTTTTGCAAGGTCTTTAGGCTTCTCTGCCTACAGAGTGCTTCCAAAAGGTGTTTTTCCAAAATGTTAGACAGTAAATGCCATTTTTGAAAAGGTTATGAATGCCACTTTCACGGCTCAATGCTACAGAATCATTAGAGTTGTAGTTTAGCAAGGTCTTTAGGCTTCTCTGCCCACAGAGTGCTGGTACTAAACTACAACTTGCAGGATTCCATAGCATTGAGCCAGGGCAACTAAAGTGGTGCCAAACTACATGACATGGGCGATGTAGAGAGGGTTTTACCTCGCCCTCACTGTATTACCTCATCCGCATTGGCTTCGTCTTCTATCCCCAAAGCCCCAAAGGGACCTTGTTCTGGGCCCCCTCCTTCCTCCATCTCTTCTTCCTCTCCTTCTTCCTCCTCCTCCTCCTCTTCCTCCATGTCTTCGTTTCCCTCCCCGCTGGACTCTGAGAGGCTTCCCCCGTCGAAGCGGGACCTCGCCTTGGAGCAACCAGGGCCTTCCAGAGCTTTGCCTGCTACATCCTCGCCTCCCAGGCCTTCGCCGGCTCCCTCAGCGCCGGGGCTTTGGCTCATTGCTGCTCCTCTGAGGAAAACAAACAGCCAGGCCGCCTCAAGCCACGGAGACGCCGTCAAGAAAGAGGCAGAGAAACTCAATCTTCTCCCCTCAGCCTCCAGAATATTGCCGAACGTGACCAAGAACTCAGGGCGCATGCGCAAGGAGCCGGTTTGGCGCGCGGGCTTCTAGGACACCTGCCTCGTTTACATACTTGTTCGCGCCAAGTCTTCTGGGAAACCGAGTATGGTTTTAGGTATCTACAGGAGAGACAGGCCTCCTTCACACAGCTGAATAAAATCCCACACTATCTCCTTTGAACTGGGATATATGGCAGTGTGGACTTGGATAACCCAGATCAGATATTGTGGGATTTTCTGTCTTGATATTCTGGGTTATATGTGTAGGTTGAAGGGGCCTGAGTCCACACTGCCATATATCCCAGTTCAAAGCAGATAGTGTGGGATTTTATTCAGCTGCTTGTATCCTGTAGATACCTAAAACCATACATGGTTTCCCATAAAGGGTCTCAGATATTCTAGTTCAGGGGTCCTCAAACTAAGGCCCTCGAAGGTCATTTACCCAGCCCTCACTCAGGGTCAACCTAAGTCTGAAACAACTTGAAATCACACAACAACAACAACAAACCTATCTCATCAGCCAAAAGCAGGCCCACGCTTCCCATTTAATTGTGGTTATATTATTGTAATTGTTATGTAGCAGCATCGTATCGTTGCCAAGTGTAATCTGTCCAGAGTTCCCCTTCGGGGGTAGAGAAGAGACAGGAAATAAATAAATATTATGAGTTATTCTGCCTTGATATTCTGTGGAAGGGCCCAAAGTCTCCTTGCCTTGGGGCCTTCCAGACAGCCATACAACCCAGAATATCAAAGCAGAAAATCCCACAATATCTGTTTGAACCGGGTAATCTGAGCACACTGCCAGTTCAAAGCGGATAATGTGGGATTTTATTCCACTGTGTGGAAGGGGGTCTGCACAATATCTGCTTTGGACTGGAGTATATTGCAGTGTGGACTCAGGGCCCTTCCACACAGCCCTATACCACAGAATATCAAGGCAGAAAACCCCACATTATCTGATTGTGGACTCAGATAACCCAGCTGAAACCAGATATGGTAGGATTTTCTGCCTTGATATTCTGGGATATAGTGCTGTGTGGAAGGGCCCTAGGAGTGCATATTCTGTGCAATGAATTCGCTAATGATTGTTATATTGATGTTTAATTGTTCATGATGCTATTGTTTTAACTGTCCCATAATCGTTTTATGATTTTTGCATTGAATTTTGCTGCTGTTAACCGCTTTGAGTCACCTGAGGGCTGAGAAAAGTGGTATATAAATGAAGTAAACAAATAAATAAATACATAAATTCAGTTTCCAGCGCTTTAACTGGCATAATCATAATACTACTTTATTTATACCCCACCTCCATCTCCCCAAGGGGAATTGGGGCGACTAATATGAGGCCAAGCCCAAAAATTACAACAAGCAAAAGAATACAACATGAAATCATAAAATAATACATCAAATAAAATACAATACAATAAATCAAAAGAAGATAATACGAAATAAACACAGAGTATAACATAAAGAGCAAAACATTGAACCAAGTGCATTGGCATGGCTCAATTATATGGACTGCTGTACTTTGGTGAGGAACCAGCATTACTTTGCAGGGAAGGTTGTAACAATATAGCTCTCATAGTTCCATTGCATTGAACCATGGCAGTAAATGGACAAGGCACCGGAACCGGAAGTGCCGTCAAGCCACTGGTGGGTGTCGTCCAATCCCTTTGCTTCATGCCCTGACTGTCGCGAAGAAGCGGTCTCCCTGAAAGGGAAAAGATGGCGGCGCTGGCGGAGGAGCCGGCGGAGGCAGTCACTGTGAAGCCAGACCCGGACGCGGGAGCGCCGCCACCTCCGCCTCCCGCTGTCCCTCAGGCCCCGGCGCCTCCCGCGGGCCCGGCCCCTTCCCCTGTGGCTCCCTCGGCCGACGGGGAGCCGCCTTCCACGGCAGGCGCCGACTGCAAGCCCCCGGTGGCTCCCAGCCCTGCCGCCAGCGCGGCCCAGCTGCCCACCGACCGGCAGACGCTGCTCGCCGTGCTCCAGTTCCTGCGGCGGAGCAACCTGCGCGAGTCCGAGGAGATCCTGCGCAGGGAGGCCCGGCTGCTGGGCGACGAGGGCGACCCCGCGGCTGCTGCTGCTTCTGCTTCCTCGGGCGGAGGGGAAGGGCAGGAGGGCGGCCTCGGGGACGTGGCCTTCGGACAGAACGCGGCCTCCCTCCCCCCGGCCGCCGCTCCCTCCGCTCCCTCCGCAGCGCCGCCACCCAAAGGTCCGTAAGGCAGGGTTGTCGCGGTTGGACAGCGCTTTAACTGCCATGGCTCAATGCCTGTGGGGTGTGTCATTTCTGGGAGAAGTTTCCCCTTCTCTGGGTGCATAATCTTCTATATAAATAAAAATGTAATGTTCGTTTGTGGGATGAACAGAACTCAAAAAACACTGGGGGAATTGACACCACATTTGGCCACAATACAGCTAACAACCCAATGTATGTCCTTCACTCATAAAAACACAGCAAAACGCAGCAGAAGGGCCTTTAAAAGCCCCAAAAAGCTAAATGACGGAAAGCTAAATGACAATACAGAAAAAAGGGAAGAAGGACAGAGGGAAGGGGAGAAAAAAAAGAAAGAAAGAAAAGAAAGAAGGAAAGGGAGAAGGAAGCAAGCAAAGAGGTAGAGAAGGAAGAAAGGAGAGAAAGAGGAGGGAAAGAAAAAAAGGGGAAGGAAGGAAAGTTAGTGGAAGAAGGAAGGAAGGAGAGAAGGAAAGAAAAAAGGAAAAGAAGGAAGGAAAGAGGGAGTGAAGGAGGGGGGGAAGATGTAGAGAAAGAGGGAGCGAGGAAAGAGAGACAGCAGAAGAGAAAGAAAAAGGGGGGAGGAAGGAAAAAGATAGAGAAGGAAGGAAGAAGAGAAGGAAAGACGGGGAAGCAGGAAGGAAAGAGGGAGTGAAGGAAGGAGAGAAAGAGGGAAGGTTGGCCACAGCAACACGCGGCGGGTACAGCTAGTCTATATAAATAAAAATGTAATGTTTGTTTATAGGATTAGCATAACTCAAAAATTGTGCTATTGGTATATATGTGATTTCATGACTTAAACAAAATGGAAAAGCATTTCTTTCCATGCTTAGGCTTTAAATATGCCATTGCACAGAATTTCAGTCCTGATATATCTACATTTGTTAATGCTTTGCAGTTAATGTCCTTGTGGAAGATCAGCCAGACGTCAGTGCAGTGCTGTCTGCCTACAAACAACAAGGAGACCCAGCGCTTTATGAAGAATACTACAGTGGACTGAAACACTTTATTGAATGTGCTTTGGACTGTCATCGAGCTGAGCTGTCACAGCTTTTTTACCCTCTCTTTGTACACATGTACTTGGAACTAGTCTACAATGGGCATGAAAATGAAGCAAAGTCATTCTTTGAGAAGTAATTATTTGTTCCGTTATATGGTTTGCATGTTTTTTCACTCTTACCATATGTACTTATGTATGAATTTCCCTCATGTTTAAGGACCTCTTCATACAGCCTACGGAGGTCATGCCATTGTGCTGGCGAAAGGGAAGGCACACAGGATGCCTCGTGGTGCCTCCCGTCCTTCCCCCATCACATGGTGGGGACGGGACAGGGTGTATTGGCACCCTGTATCCATCTGATGGGAGAAAGGGTGGCAACATGCGGTAATGCACGTTGCCCCGCCACCCTTTGCCCCATCAGATGGGTAAAGAAGAGGAAATAACAATAATAATATAATAATAATAACTTTATTTTTGTACCCCGCCTCCATCTCCCCAAGGGGACTCGGGGTGGCTTACATGGGGACGAACCCGATCAACATAGTTAAAATAAAACACATTAAAATACATCAACAAAAACATAAACAAAATAAAACAACATTATATCAATAATATCAAAGCAGACATCAACCAGCAACCAATAAACTGGGTAGCTCCAAAATGGGGTTATTTTGCCCCATGTAAAGAGGTCCAAAGTCAATGGTAAGGGACTTTGATATTACCCATCGATAAATTGGGGCTCATTTTGCAGAGAGGGGAATGCAGCAATGCCACCATAGGACCATTGTTCACCGCCACTGCCATTTCCCTGCCCATGTATTGAAAGGCATCGTGACAGAGATAATTCTGGGGCTGGTGCTTCTTTTGTGTTCTCCTAGGATGGACTAAGCTTTGGCCTTTCTCCACTTTACTCAGAGAAGGAGACAGTATCTTTTGTGAACAGGGCTAAAGTACAGCATTCAGTTTAACCCTTGGGTAAGTGCAGAAGAGAGTTTATAGGGTAGCTGGATGAAATCATTATATTTAGTTATTGCAGATATTCACATTTAATGTGAAGTGCAGTGAAATGAGACAAGACTCTGTAGTATTTCTTTTCAAACCAACACTGAGGACAAGAACCAAGTATGCTTGAATTATACTGAAAAAAATATTACTGTTTTACCAGCAGTGAAAGGGAATTCTACTTTCCACAGTGATGTCTTACAATACAGTACTTAATGCCTGGAGCCAAAACATTCATTCTCTTCAGGGTATATTTCAAACCACATAGTTATGGCACATTGATACCACTTTAGTTGCCATGGCTACATCCTGTGGAATCCTGTAATCTGTATTCTGGTAAGGTACTAAAGCTCTCTGGCAGAAAATGTTAAATTCCTCATGAAACAAAAAATTCCAGCATTGTAGAATGGAGGCAATGCAGTTACACTGATATCAAAGTGCTACAACTGGGTAGTGCAGAAGAGATATAGAATAATGTATTGATTAGTAGTATTTGATAGAACTAAGATATAAGCAGTTGCAGTATGACATGCTGTATTCAAGTGCAAATAATTCTCTTGAAAGAATTGTTTCATGGTAAAGGAATTTCTGTTTCTAAAATGTTCCTGGTCTGAACCAATATATAAATATTCTGTTATATTGCAGCAATGAAAAAAACCCTCAGTGATGTGCATATTGGGAAAGTATGACCCACAATTTGCGTATTCTCTCACATCCCTTTATTCCCCTCTGATACCCTGTTTCAAATCCAGACACTTTTTAAAAAATCACAGCAATGTTTCTGTTTGAAAATTGTCAAACCA